ATGGAATAGTTTGAGGAGCACTGGTGTTTTTCTTTAAAGGTTTTGAGAAACTCAGTAATGAATCTATCTAGTCCTAGGCTTTTCTTTGTTGGGAAGCTTTTTATTACTCCATCAATCCCATTACTTATTATTCATCTGTTTATCCAGGTGCTTTTCTTAAAGGTTATTTAGTGCATTGTTTAACTATGCAGTCCAAACTTTCTCCTGATTCTGGGCTTGGTTTTGATTCTCATACCACCTGTCCCTGTGCTAGCCTGCCTCACCCTCAATACTGTTTTGTCAAGCTAATGTCAATTTTCATGCTAGTACTACCCTGTATTGTTTACTATGGAACTGTAGTGTCAGAGAGGGAAATTAGTTTTCCTTCAACCCTCATGACTTCTTGTTGGGATAAACCCCTGCATAACAAGGGCAGATTAAAAACCCACATTTATTAGCAGGTGCAGTGCATGTTATGGGAGAGAATCCATATTGGAAAGTAACTCAAAGCAGTGCCTTTAACTCCCATGTATCTAGCATCTTCAGTGAAGATCAATAAATTTGTGAAAAATGATGGGGAGAGGAAGCAATTTTAGGCTTGCAGGGATGGCCAGGGATCTATTTCAGTTTTCTATATGTGGGTATTGAGCTTTCCAAGCACCATTTGTTGTAGAGGCTGCCTTTTCTCTACCATATGTTTTGGACTTTTTTGTCAAAAATCAGTTAGCTGAGCCAGGTGTTGATGGTTCACGCTTATAATCCTAGCTACTTGGGAGCCAGATATCAGGAGGATCAAGGTTCAAGGCCAGCCCAGACTCCCCGCAAAAAAAAAAAAAAAAAAAAATTAAGACCCTGTCTCAAAGATACCCAACACAAAAAGAGGTGGCAGAGTGACTCATTTAGTAGAGTACCTGACTAGCAGACCCTGAGTTCAAACCCCAGTATTGAGAAAAAAAAAAAAAGTCTGTTGGCTATAGCTCCATGAACTTTTGTCTGGACCTTCTTTCCCATTGGTTTTGTCTTGTGCCAACATCATGCTATTTTTATTGCTATGGCTCTGTAGTGTAGTGTGAAGTCAGGTATTGTGATAGCTCCAGCATTGTTGCATCTTGTTGCTCACAGTTGGTTGGGCTATTTGAGATCTTTTGTGCTTCCATATAAACTTTAGGATTGATTTTTCTATCTCTGTCATTGGAATTTTGATAGGGATTGCATTGAACGTGTAGATTACTTTTGGTAGTATAGCCATTTTCACAATATTGATTCTGCTGATCCATGGGCATGGAAGGTCTTTCCATCCATCTTCTGATGGCTTCAATTTCTTTCTTCAGTGATTTATAGTTTTCATTCAAAAGGTCTTTCATTTCCTTCATTAAATTTGTTCCTACATATTTTTGAGGCTATTATAAATGGGATTATTTTCCTGATTTCTTTCTCAGTCTGTTCATTGTTGGTATGTGAAAAGCTATTGTATTTTGTATATTGATTTTGTATCCTGCTACTTTGCCAAAGTGTTTATGACTTCTAACAGTTTTTGATGGCGTTTTCAGGGTCTTTTAGGACATGATAAGGTCATGTCATCTGCAAATAGGGATAGTTTGACTTCTTCCTTCCTTGTTTGAATCCCTTTAATTTCTTTCTCCTATCTTATTCCTCTGGATAGGAATTCCAAAACTATATTGAATAAGAGTGGAGAAAGTAGACACCCTGGTCTCATTCCTGAGTTTAACAGAAATGGTTTCAGTTTTTCTCCACTTAGTATAATGTTGGTAGAGGTTTGTCACACATAACCTTTATTATGTTGAGGACCATTCCTTCTATTCCTAGTTTCTTTAGTGTTTTTAATCATGAAAGGATGTTGAATTTTGTCAGAGGCTGTTTCTGCATTTATTGAGATGATCATTTGATTTTTGTCCTTGCTTCTGTTTATATGTATATTATATTTATAGGTTTGCTATATTGAGCCACCCTTGTATTCTTGAAATGAAACTAACTTGATCATGGTATATGATCTTTTTGATGTGTTGTTGATTTTGGTTTGCCAGTATTTTGCTAAGAATTTTTGCATCTATATTCCTTAAAGATTGGCCTGTAATTCTCTTTTTTTGTTACTTCCTTGTTGGGTTTTGGGATGAGTGTAATACTTCATAGAATGAGTGTATTAATGTTCCTTGTCTTTCTATTTCATGGAAAAGTTTAAGGAGTGTGATATTAGTTCTTCTTTGAAGCTCTGATAGAATCAGCTGTGTATCCACCAGGTCCTGGGGTTTTCTTTGTTGGGAGACTCTTTATTTGTGCTTTAATGTCATTGCCTGTTAGAGATCTCTTTAGGTGGTTTATATCCTCTTAGTTCAGTTTTGGTTGGTTAAATGCATCTAGCAATTTAATCCATTTCATCTAGATTTTCCAGTTTACTAGAATATAAGTTTTCAAAGTATTCCCTATTGATCTTCTGGATTTCATTGGTATTTGTGGTGATGTCCACAAATACCAATTTTATTAATTTTATTAATTTGGATCTTTTCCCTCATCTGTCTAATCAGATTGGCTAAGGGTTTATTGATTCATTAATCTTTTTTGAAGAACCAACTTTTTGTTTTGTTCGTTCTTTGTCTAGTTTTTTTGGTCTCAATTTTGTTGATTTTATCTCTGATGTTTGTTAGTTTGGGGTTTAGCTTGTTCTTATTTTTCTAAAAACTTAAGGTGCATCATTAGGTTATTTATTTGTGATCTTTTTTTAATGTAGGTACTCATAGCTATAAAATTTCCCCTTAGCACAGTCTTTGCTCTCACACAGGTTCTGGTAGGTTGTGTTTTCATTTTCATTAGATTCTAGGAAGTTTTGTATCCTAAAATATACAAAAAAGTTCCATGGGCTGCTGAGAAGAATGTATATTGTGCAGTAAATACTGGATAAAATACTCTGTTGTAGATGTCTATTAATTCTGTTGCATCTATCCTGATGTTTCTTTGTTGATTTTTTTTCGTCTGAATGACCTATATATTGTTGACAGTGGGATATTGAAGTCTTCCGCTATCACTATGTTGAGGTCTATCTGTTGGTTTGCTGTTCTGAAAGCCTTCTGTATCTGCATGTCTCTCCCTTCCATGAGATTTGGGAAGTTTTCAACTTTTATGTTATTGAATAAGTTATCTATGCCTTTAGTTTATGTTTCTTCTTCTATACCCATGATTCGTAGATTTGGTCTTTTGATGGTGTCCCAAATGTCTTGCATGTTCCATTCATATTTTCTTAGTATTTTTTCATGGTCATTAATTGATTGATCTAATTCATCTAGTTTGTCTTCTGTTCCTGATACACTATTTAGCTGCAGGTATTTTTTTTCAGGATGATCTTAATCATCAGTGTGAAGAGTTTTCCTTTATTTAGTTTATTTATTTATTTATTTATTTATTTTGGTGGGGCTGGAGTTTAGGAAATTTCTTTCTATTCCAAGTTTGTTGAACATTTTTATCATAAAATAAAAATGCTTTTTTGAATTTGAGATGTTTGTGTGGTCTTGTCTTTATTTTGATACTATGATATTTCTGTTGATTGATTTTCACATATAGAATATATATTTCATTCCTGGGATATTCCAAACATGGTGTAAACCCCTTTTTGCATTTTGCTGGATTTGATTTGTTAGTATTTTTTTGAGAATTTTGGTCTTTGTACTCAAGGAATATTGGTTTGTTGTTGATTTTGTTTTTTGTTTTTGTTTTTTGAGATGTCTGTCTTTTTTTGCTGTCTTGGTAATTCTGGCCTAATACTATGAGGTGGAAAGTGTATTCTTCTCTTCTACTTTCTGAAAGAATTTGTGAAACATTTGTGTTCTACATTTGGTACAATTCTCCAGTAAAATGGTCCTTAGTATTTGTGTGTATGGTGTGAAGTTTTTTATGACCATTTCATACTCCTTACCTGTTAAAAGTTTATTTATTTTTCTCTCTTTTTGAGTCATCTTTGTAGTTTGCATATTTCTAGAAATTTGTCCATTTCATGTAGGCTATTTAATTTGTTGGCATAAAATTGTTCCTAGTATTCCATTTTAAAGGTGGTAATAATGTCCCATCATTCATTCCTGATTTTAGCAATTTGAATCTCATTTTTCTTGTCAATGTAACTAAAGGTTTCAATATTTGGTTTCATTGATTTTTTTTTTAATATTGTTTTTCATTCTCTATTTTACTTTTTAAGATGCCTTTTTATATAAAGGCAATTCCTAAGGTGTGGTTAGAGGGCCCTGAGGGATTGCCTCCTTCAGGGATTCTCAAAGTGAATACTGTGTTCATAATGATCTCAAGGCTTCCTTTACTTTCCATACCCTGATTTTTCTCACAAGTACAAATTGGAGTTTTTCTAAGGTTACATGATAAATGAAGTCATGATAGAAACAGGTGAGAATCCAGTTGTCTTTTACTATGCCAGGTATTGGAATTTATAAAAATGCAAAACAGTGCCCCTCTTTTCAGCATTTTTTTTGTTTTGGAAAATATAGTTATTTTTCATAAATATGCTAGTTATAGTATCAGGTCTTATTTTTAAAATAGTTATTAAATGTTTTTATAATTCTCAGTTTAAATTGGTAATTAATATTAAAAGCTATAATCTACATTTTTCAAAAAACTTTGGAGTCCTTAGTAATTCAAATGTGTAAAAAAGTGTGGAAAGTTTAAAGCTACTGCTGTATATCATCACATCTCTAAAACAACTCTCTGGGTTAGCTATTTCTGTTTGTAGCTAAACAAAATACAAGAGCTAAATAATTCATTCAGAAATTTAGAGGTAGTAGGTAGGGTTTAAAGTCATATTTTTAATATCTTCAAATTTGTGCTTTTTATACTGAATACCTAACTATTCCAATTTTCTTTTAAAACACCTTTTTATGCTTTGATTTCTTAGGATTTAAAACAAGCTAATTAGTGAGTTGTTAAAGGGAGTGTATTTTCTCAGTATTGTGTGGTGAAATGTCATATACCGTCTTCTTCAAGACTATGATTCTTTGGTATTCCCTCAGCAGAGAGATGTGTCATGGCAATGCTGAGGAAGAGAATCAAGGATGAGAAAACTAATGTCAGGAAGTCTGCACTCCAGGTAAGAACTTTTTCAGCATGTTTTAAAATACACTCTTTTTAAGTACTAAGATTTGGAAATGCAAGGGAATATTTTTAACCCAAGGCTATATTCATTATTTAGCTTACTTTTTCATAGTTGACCCTGGTCCTATTACATATAAATTATATAGATGAGCTGAAGAATTACCTGTTTTCAAGCTTTCCTACTGGGTTGCTATGATTTTAAGAATAACAATTTTTTATACATAATTTGTTTTGTTTAGAGTAGGGGACCATGGATGAATTTCTGTAGGTTTGTGGAATTGGTTGTAAATATTTGCTTATGTAAAATATTAAATTTTCTCTAGAGAGGCCTTAGCTTTCATCATATTCTAAAGGGTAGAATGCCTTAGGGAGGAGAGATGGGTTCATGCCCCACAAAATGTTAAGAATCACAAATTTGAAGTATCCCCTTGTCTACTTTTGATCTTTCTGTGTTTATGCCATATAGTCACCATTTGATGTTGCATATTTGCCTTTTAGGTGTTAGTGAGTATTTTGAAACACTGTGACATCTTGGGCATGGAGGAGGATCTGTTGATTCTGCAGGACCACTGCCGGGACCCTGCAGTATCTGTCCGGAAGCAGGCCCTACAGTCTCTTACTGAACTGCTTATGGTGAGAGGCGAGGCATTCTGTGTCTAATGCATGATACATTACATTGTAAGTAATCCTGAGGCTGGGGTGTAGCTCAGTGGTAGAACATGTGCTTTGCTTACACAAGGTCCCTGAGTTCATTCCCAGCACCAGTAACAACAACAACAATAATAATCTGCATAATAATTACCTGTTGCTAAATGGTAAGTTGACCATTAGAACCTTTAGGAAGTCTAAACACCTAAGAGAAAAAGGAGAGATATCTTTCAGTTACATATGGTTATTATGGTTCCTATTAAATAAAATTAGTAACTAATGTTAAACAATGCTAATGCTGTTTCTTGATTTCATCCTAAATCTTAGATAGAAAAAGAATTCTTAAAATTAACTTGGCTAAGCTGGAGGCCTAGATTAATTTTTGTCAGTTAAGATATATATATATATATATAGAGAGAGAGAGAGAGAGAGAGAGAGATGATGATGATGATGACTTTGCCAAACCTATACTATATATAATTTACTTCTTCCAATTAATTAGCTGTTGAAGACTTTTAAAAGCAAGTTTATTTCTTTATTTCATGAGAGAAGGCATTAAGCAGTATGTATTTTGACTTTTCCTGTCAGCATTTATTCTAACTACTCTTTGGGATAAATATTATTTGCTCTGAGTTTTGAATTACCAAAAAGCACAGAATACTAATAATAAAATAATGGCTTTAATGTAGAAGTTTAAAGTTTCAATATTTACGATAAGCTGGAGGTTGAACTTTGTTTTTGCATTTCTTTTGAATGTTGATTTTGCTTTTCACTTTATACTATATTTGCAATCATGGTGATTTTTTTTTTTTTAGGTGCTGGGGATTGCACCCAGGGTTTCAAGCATTCAAAGTGCACACTTTACAAATGAGCTATGTCCCTAAGTCCAGAGATGTGATTATATTTAACATGTCTCTCAAAACAGTGATTACAACTTCACTTGCTTGTATTTAGACTTCTAGTAGTGTCAGACTTTCTAATACATTTTCAACCTTCAGGCACAGCCTAAATGTGTCCCAATCCAAAAAGCCTGGCTGACAGGGGTCATCCCAGTGGTGATGGACTGCGAGAACACTGTGCAGGAGAAGGCCCTGGAGTGCCTGGACCAGCTCCTATTACAGAACATTAAGCATCACAGCAAATTTCATGGAGAGGATGGCAGCCAGGTGCTTGCCTGGGCTCTTCTTGCTCTCCTTACCACAGAAAACCAGGAGCTGAGGTATGTTAACTGTGTGGCTGAGGTTTCTCATGGAAGGCCAAATGCTTTTTAGTAATAAAATTTCCAGCTTTCAAAATTACTTTGTATATGTGAAGACATAGTCTTCGTCTCTCTTTTTCTTGAGTTAACTTCACATCTCTTGGTTACTGTTTTTGTAGTACCTTCAATGACTTCCTTTGCTTTCCTCTGACTGCTTCCCAGTTTTAGGTTGTAGTTGAAAATGCTGATGGTTATGACAGCTAGCACTACCTTTCTCCACTGCTAATTAGTATGAAAGGTGACTTCTTCATTTCTTTTCAAGTTAACCATTTTGTAAATTTTAGTGGACTGGTATTTAATAACATTGAGTTTTTTTTTTCCATTTGATAACATTTATTGAGTACATACTAGGTTCTGTGAACATTGGAGTTAGCAGTTAGGATCTGTGATGATAAATTTAAACTGTACTACAGTAATTTTGCAGTTTAGTTTGTGTTTGAGCAATCTTGGTGATCGTGTATTTACTTCCTAATGCTAATCTTAAAAAATACTGAAAAATCTATATTGATCAGATAATATCCTCTGTACATAATATAAGGAATAGAGGAAAAGCCCAAAAAAGAACACTAGAAGAATGAAAATGCTACTTTTATTATATTATTTATTTATTACTATGTTTATTATTGAGTTACAAAATGCATGCAATGTGATACTTAGAAGGAAATGTATAATGTTAAGTTTATGTTAGAAAAGGAAAAGGACTGAAAATTAATGATCTAAAAGCAGTTTAAAAGGTAACTAAATAAACTACTAAAATTAAAAGCAGGTATGAGGCTGAGAATGTCAGTGGTACAGCACTTGCCTAGCATGCACAAGGCCCTGGTTTCTATCCCCAGCACCCACAAAACCAAAGCAAGCCAAGAAACAGCAACAAAAGAACAAATATAATCTGAATTGATTAATAAGGAAATACAAAAGATGGTATCTACCGAGATTTGCAAAGAGAAATGTGAAGGAGCAGCTAAGCAATGAAATGTCATTTCAGTGAGTGTCAATGAAACGGCTGGTGCAGCGACAGCCATATGGACTCATAAGATGTTCAGTAATACTTCTGTAAAGGGCACAGTTCTCTGGATTTTTTTAATTTAAAGTTTCAGTTGATATAATACCCCATATTAGTTCGTAGGTCTGCCATAACAAAATACCATGGGCTAGGTGACTTAAGTAATGGAAATTTATTTCTCTCAGTTCTGGATGCTGAATGTCTCAGCATCGAGGTTCCAACAGCTTTGGTTTCTCTTGAGGCCTCTATGGCCTGCAGATAGCCGCCTTGCTATCACAGGGTCTTTTCTCTGTGCGTGCTTGTCCTTGGTGTCAGACTTGATTCGAGTGCACCAAATGGCCTAATTTTAACGTCAGCAATTCATAGGCCCTGTCTGCAATTACAGTCATATTTTGTGGTTGTAGGGGTTAGGGCTTCAACCTATGAATTTTAAAGAGCACAATTCAGCCCATAACATACTACTAAGGCGAAAGTGTTAACATCTTCAACAGTAAGCCCAAGGAATCACATTACCGTATGCCTTGTTATAGTACCTCAGCAAATACTTGTCTGAATAATGATTATTAACAGCTACTGTGGTCCATCCAAAGCTCGTGCTGAAATACAGTGGCCAATGTAAGAGTATTAGAAAGGTGGGACCTTTAAGAGGTGATTAGGCCATCTGGGCCCACCTTCATGAATGGATTAGTTCATTACAAAAAGAGCTACAAGAGTGGGGTCTCTCTGTAGTATCTATGTGAGGAATACACCATGTGAGTATCCAGTACTTCCTTCTCCAGAGGATGCAGCCTGCAAGGCACTACCTTAGAAGCAGACAATGGCCTCAGCAGCACCGAACCTTATACTTCCCAGCCTCCAGAATCATGAACAGTAGATTGCTGTTCTGTATACACTACCCAGTTTCACATATTATGTTATAGTGCATAAAAACCATAGATAATACCATAAATAAAATTATAACACAAAGGACAAATTGGAAAGGCCATAGCATATGATAGATAAAGGATGATGTCGTATATTTACTAATAACTCTTATAAGCCAGTAAAGATGAACTCCTTAATAGAGGAGGGCTAGAGATGTAGCTCAAGTGGTAGAGCACTGCCTAGCAATCACAGGGCCCTGTGTTCAAACCCCAATACCACCAAAGAAAACAAAAGAAGATTACATGAAAAATCAGTTCACAAAAGTTGAAACAGAAATGAGCAATAAGTGTAAAAGAAAATATTAAATCTGATTTTAAACTTTAACCAGAGTTCAAATTAAAACAATAAATTTCATTATGTCAAAATGTGAGATTTGACAATTTACACACTAGCCAAGTGTTTTTATTTGAGAAAAAGAACTTTTTTTATATACTTGATTAGAGTATAAACTGTCAAAACCTGTCTAGAGGACAATCTAACAATGTATACATCAAGAAAAGACTCCACAATTACCATCCCAAGAATGTATCCCTTGCCTGCATCCCCCATCCCTCCTGGGCAGGCTCTTTTCCATCAGTCCATCTTCCCATCTGTCCAGAGTGACATCTCTACATGCATGATTTCTTCAAGAGAGCATCATGAGATGTTCCCTGTCACATCACTCACTCCTACCATTGCTTCATATTTATCTCTTATTTCCCCATGAGAATAATGTGTCCTGGCAACTACAGCTGTCTCCCCATGCCCTCCTGCCTTCTTATATACCCATTCCTTCGAGTATGGTGTTCTCTCTCCCTGAAATGCCCTGCCAGCCTTCCCTGCTTTATTAGTTTTATCTGTCCTTTGAAATTTTCTTTACTTCCTCTGTAAGTCTCGCCTGACTTCTCTGGCTTGAATTACTACATTTCAGAAGTCTGAAACACATTTTTACATCCAAAATTGAGGTGCACCTTACATTGCAGGAGCAACACATCTCCTCCACAAAGTTCATTTTCATTTTTAGATAGAGGAAAACATCTGTAGATATTTGAGGTCAGTGGTGAGAGGCAGAGAAACTATTGTGGATGATTGAATATGGTGATGTTTAATGAAGATAGTTTCTGGATTAAAAACAGTATGTGAAAGCAAGGGAGGGAACCTCTGAGATGAAAGGGAATAGGGAAGGAGAAGTGCAAAACAGGAAATTTGGACACTAGAGCTTACTAGCCTTCCATTCCTCAGAAAAGTAGCCATCGGAATCACTTGCATAAGAGCCATGAGTTCATGCCTGTAATCCTAGCTACTGTGAAGGTGGAGATAGGAAGATCACAGTTTGAGGCCATCCAAGGCCAAAAACATCAGCACAACCCCATCTCAACAAACATGCTGGGGTCCTAGACTGGCTTTGTAGTTCCATGGTAGAGAGCTTGCCTAACATGCTCAAAGCTCAGTCCACAAACAAATAAAAGAATTTAAAAGGGTCCTGAGATGAAAAAGGTGTGAGAACCACTAAGTTCTAGGAATCAGTTTTGAAAAGGAAAAGCATTATTGAAAACAGTAAGGTTGGTGGAAGAAAGCGTTCTATAAACATTTATAGATAGATGTTGTGTTAAGACCTTTAATCAAGTATTAGTAGAATATCAAAAAATGTTCACACAGAAAAAGAACTTTATAGAATAGGTGACCTTGCAGTTGACTCTTGAAAGCTGATAAGGAATAAAAATTAAAAAAAAAAAAAAGCTGATAAGGAGGGAAAGAAAGAACAGCACACAGAGGGAACAGCCCTGGATGCATAAGGCAGTGTGCACTGTACCAGCTCCCAAGGGTGTCGGTGCGCTGGGGTAACAGTGCATGTGAATCTGGGCCCCAGATGAGATTGGAGTATTGCACTACAGCACAGCATGCCAAGAAGTTTGGCTTTGTATCAAAAGCAGGGCAACGGTGGGAGGCTACTAAGGAACTTAACAGAGAGAAGGGATACCAGATTTTATGTTTTGAGGAGTATATACTTGTGTTTGGTGGGTGACCAAGAAGACAGAACTGGATTGTAAGAACACAGGCCCCTGGTGAGGTGATTGAAGTCAAAGAGAAGGCAGAGACAGTAGAGATGGAGAAAGGGAGGTATCTTCAGGCTGCTTAAGAGTGAAGAAGAGGCTCAAGTGGTGAGTGCCTGCTTAGCAAGTGTGAAGCCACGAATTCAAACCCAGTAGCCACCCCTTCCCCCCAAAATGTGGAGGAAATAGAAGAGGAGATTGTTAGTTTATATTCTGCTGGATAAACATACTTTGAGGAACTCATTTTCCTGGCCCTGCTCTAAGTGCTGGAGATTTGCAGGCTAGTGGAAATTTCACAAAATAAAGTCAGTTTTAGGTGAGGAGGGATAAAGGAGAATGATGGAGGGGTGAATTCAACTATGAAATATTGCAGTAACTTTTGTAAATTTCACAATGTACTCCCAGCACAACAATTAAAAAAAAAAAAAGTCAGTTTTAGGAGACAGGTATTTGGTGATTATTATTTTTGCATCTCTTCCTCTTCCCTCTCCCTCCTCCTTTGTTCTCCTCCTCCTTCTCTTCCTCCTCCTCCTCTGTTAGTATTCCCAAATCCCCAAGGTTGGATATTTTATAAAGAAAAGTGGTTTATTTACCTTGCACTTTTGGAGGCTGGAAGTCCAAGACCAGGCAGCCCTACCAGTTCAGTTTCTGGTGAGGGCCTCCTAGTGGTTGGCAACATAGTTGTGGGAGCTCTTGCAGAAAAGATCTCACAGGGAAAACGGAAATCAAAGAGATTCAGGATCCAGGCTTGCGCTTTAAAACTTGCTCTCATAAGAACTCACTCTAAGAAACCATTAATCCCTTCTGACGGAGGGAGATGCCCCCATGACTTCATTGCCTTATACTAGGCCCCATCTCTCAGGGTTCCACTGTCTTTAGCACCACCACACTGGGGATCTGTTTTCCTCACACAAACCTTGGGGCACATTCAAACCATGGCAGCTATCTTGCCAGAAGTGGTGGCATGACCTAAATGTTGGGGAATGCATACTAATCAACCAGGCAGCCGTAACAGTGAGGGGTACCAGACTGGAGCTAATAGTGCAGAGACTTAGAGGTCTGAAGGCTCCACAAGTCTAAGGAAAATGACTTTCACAGCCATTGCCTGAGGCATGGTCAGACAAGGGGAGCGAGGGCGAACAAGAGATGGAAGTCTGGTTTTGAATGTGTGCTTGCTATGCTTGTTGACATCTGAATGGGGAGCTCTTGGCTTGTGGGTAGAGAAGAGGTTCAAAAGCAGCAGTTGAAGTGATTAGAAAAGGGATTAGAGAAGGAAGATGAAACAGACCCAGAAGATAGACTAGAGTCTACAATGCTAGCAGAGGCCAAATACAATGGGGGCTGAAGACTACCTGTTGGTTTTAATCTTGGGTCTGTGGTACTTTTGATTAGTGTTTGTTGAACCTAATTCTGATTAGATGGGGTCGGCTGTGATTGACAGTGGACTGACGAAGGATGAGGTGAGAAGCTCCATGGCAACTGCTCTGTTGACATGGAGGGGTATAACTAGTCAGAAAGAGCCGAATTCTAGACATTCTGTTGCCTTTGTAGTAAGCATTAGTTAACATTTTATGTGATTCTTTTAAAATAAATTTTAAAATATTTGATGATTGCATTTATCTTATGTTTGGATATAAGTCACATATAAATCATTTTATGGATAACTGACAAAACCCTTGACATTTGTGGATAAATTTTAAATCAGTAGCTTATTTATTACTAAAACTATTATTTATGTATGCATATTTATATGTACCATGTAAATTGTAAATAATGCACACATAAATGTAAAATTTGTGTACACAAGTGTACTATGATAATGGATGTGTTTATCATAGTAGCTATGATAAAATATCATAGCTTTGAGCATATGCATGCTTTGAGAATTTCCTTTTAAAAAATTTAACGAGAAAATCTAGTTAGTCTTTCTGCATGTGTATGCTCCCAAAAATCTAAGAAGAATTAATTGGGTGTAGAAATGTACTGTTGTCTTCACTTAGATATATAACATGGCATGGCCTCATGAGCCATGTGATCTCATTCAGTGCTGTGGAAAGAAAGAAAGAAAGGATGTCTTAAAAACGCCAGAAACATAAAATGAGCATAGTACAGTAGAGGCATTTTGAGTTTTATTTTTAAAGGTTTAAACACCTGCTCTTGTATTAAGAGGTTATGGCAAATTTCAGCATGTTTCCTCACGCTGTGTTTAAATGCTAGCTTGTCCTTTCTGTGCATTCCTCACCCTGAAAGAGGACAGTGATTCTACTGGTACTTTGATCCTGTAGGCTCTGATGGCCCTTTTATGGTAGCCTATCCTACACGTTTGTGTGAAGTGTTTTTTTGGTTTGGTTTGGTTTGTGTTTTTTTTGGTGGTACTGGAGTTCAAACTCAGGACCTCTCATGACTGCTAGGCAGGCAGTTTACCACTTGAGTAATGCCCTTTCTACTTTAGTTATTTTTCAGGTAGGGTCTTCCATTTTTGGCCTGGACCACCATCCTCCTACTTATATCTCCTGCCTAGCTGTGATGACAGGCATACACCACCACACCCAGCTTTTTATTGGTTGAGATGGGGGTCTCACTAACTTTTTGGTGGGCTGACCTCTAACCTGGATCCTCTCAATTCTGACTCCTGTGTAGCTGGGATTGCAGGCGTGCCCCACTGCACTTGGCCATAAATTTTTTTTTTTTTGCTTTAAAGAATAAACATTTTGTAGAGGGGTAATAAAGACAACTTATTTTAGAAGAAAAATTAGGAAAATACCTCATTTGGTTTCAGCTAGACTTTGCATGGATGCTTTATGTGCCAGTGGAATCCTGGAGCTGCAGAAATTCATACCCTCTCAGCGAGGAGCTGATCTGAATAGTTTTCTATATTTATGGTTACAGTTCCACTTTCTTTTCTTTTTTTTTTCTAGTCGCTATTTAAATAAGGCATTTCATATTTGGTCCAAGAAAGATAAATTCTCATCCACTTTTATAAACAATGTGATATCTCACACTGGCCTGGAACATTCTTCACCCGCCTGGATGCTGCTGTCCAAAATTGCTTGCTCCTCACCAAAGCTGGACTACACCAAAATAATGCAGTCCTGGGAGAAAACCAGCAGGTTTGCATGCTTATACATTGCACAATGACAGTTCTTGTCTTAAGGAAGTGGGTTATTTCATAGCTATTTGTGTACAGAGATCTTTTCTTTAAATCCTGGCATAAAAACAAACATAACAATAAGAATCACTTTAAGCAGTTAGCTTATCCTTTGTCCAAATTCATTAAGCACCTTAGTGTTCCTACAGCTTGTCAGTTAAACCTCACTACCTACTCTCCAGTAGTATCAGTCCCGAAGAAAAGGCATTTTGTAGGTAGTGGAATGTTAAATTTGGTCCTATCTTAGTATTTCTCCTTCCTTTTCTCTAGTGAACAGAATCCCAATTCAAACACCTTAGGACACATGCTGTGTGTCATTGGGCATATTGCAAAACATCTTCCTAAGAGTACCCGGGACAAGGTGACTGGTGAGTGTCTTTTAGAGAACCCTTCCTAAAAAGCCATTGCTGGTCACTTCAGATTTTTATATTTATGTGTATTTTTACGCAGCCAAACTTTAAGGGTTTTGACTTTCTTCTTAGATGTTGTCAAGTGCAAGCTGAATGGATTTCACTGGTCTCTAGAGTTGATCAGTTCAGCTGTGGATACTTTGCAAATGCTCTGTAGAGCATCTGCAAGGACGCCTACAGAAGAACAGGTATGGCAGCACACTGTCCTTTGTATGTTTCTAATTTGTACTTGGACATGCTACTCTTTGATTTGACGTTTGAGTTGTTCTCTATAAGTAGAAGCCATGTAAGGATGTATATAGCCCCTGGTAGCTACTGCTGCATGTACCTAACACTTGATATTCTGCAAGATTTGGCCACTGAAGATGTGGTTCTCACAGATGTCCTCAGCTTGGCTCTAGGTACAGGTGTCTCAGTAAGGTTTCCTGTTGATTACCATTCCTGGTAAAGAATTCTGAAAAAAAATTTTTTTGGTAAGTTGTAAGCTAGTCCCTCATTCCAAAAACATTTAATCATTTTTCACTTAATCACAGAGTTTCCTGCAGACCAGATGGTTTTGGTCTTTTGATAAATCATTATGTTGGTTGATACCTGTCCTATTACTATGTGTTTACCTTACTCAAATATCTCTTACTGGTATCATATCTCCAAAGTTTAGCTTTTTTTAATTTTTTTTAATGAATACATAGTCACAAATCCAAATCAGTGACTTATGTGAGGCAGAGAGTTACTTTGACCTTCTTAAAAGTATTCATGTCAATATTTGTAATAAATCTTTTACCTCTGTGTCTTCTGTTTTTATCATGAGATATACTCCTAGACAGTGGTAATCATAATGAAAAATTTTAAGGCCAGGGGGGTATTTAATTATGATTAAATAGAAATCACAAGTTAATTTAAGTAATTGCTGGAATATATTTAAATTTTCCAGAATAAAAAAAAATGATTTCTTCATTTTACTGCCTAGCTACCTTCCCTCTTCTTTTACTTGTGTAAACTTCAAGAAAGTCCTCTGATATATTCCATTTTTTATTTGTAATAACAAATCTAATAGAACAACATAGTGTAGCTTTTTTGCTTATAACTTAAGACATGTCAGAATTCACTTTAAAAAAAGCTTGCTGTTTTTTTCTGTAAATGATGTCTAGTGTTTTCTTGGTGTCTGCCTTTCAGCACTTATGTTAGCAAAGAAGATATACTTGCATTATTATTTTCTAACCTTTTGTCTCAAGACCCAAGAAATCGTATGCAAGCTTTTAAATAAGCTTTTGAAGGAGCATATTTGGAAGTCATCAAACAATGAGAAAAAATAGCTGGCACTGTGTTGAGTCTAGTAAAAATAAGGAAAGAATGATGTAGGGAAAATTGGGGAATTCTGTGGACAGATTTTGAAACTGATCCTGCAAGGGTCAGTGGCGCACAGCAGAACTGGGACTTGAACAAAGGTCCCTCGTGCCTTCCCAGTGTTCTTGTCACCAGCTCTAGCTGGAAAAGGAATTCTCTCTGTGGTGGGCTGTCAGGGCCATCATTCACTGCCTGCTATGCCATAGGCATTAGCACAGTAAGTTGTGTTGTTATTAGATAGAATTGTCTTCAGATTTAGAAACCAAGAGCTAGAAGGAAGGTAAAACTTATGACTGTTAGAAAAATGACCGACACTGCCTCCCTGAGTGGTAGACAGTGGAATTTTGTGGTGTTATTAATCCATATGAATTGTTTGTTTTCCCTAAACACACTTCTCTTTTTGTTTTCTCTGTAAATGAACATTCTGTATTTTACTGAGAACAAGAAATTATCCAAAGAATAGATGATCAAGATATAGTTTAACAGCAGCACATGTGTAAGGCTTAGGCCCTGGGCGTTTTTGTCATCTGTAAGTTCGGTATGAGTTACCTTCCTGGCTGTTGTTAAAATCTGGTTGAGAGCTTGGACCATTTTGATAGAAGTCGTATCTAGAATAAGAGGGGTAATCCTGCTCTTTGTCATGGAAATCTAAGTTGATGTGTTCCATAATTGAATTTCAGTGACAACTTTGAAGAACTATTGATAACATATAATTTATTTAGAGGAGAAAAATTGGATGAAGGGGTTACAAAACAAGTTGTGAAAGGCCAGCTGAAAGGCCTGATATAGGATTTAGCATGGAAAAAGGGAGTGTTATGTAGGACAGGCTGCCTAGCCAAGTTCACATCTATGAAGGACTTGCAGATAGAAGAATTGAATTTGTTTTGCTGTGCTCTGAGGTCCCAGCTACACTGAAATTTCAAAGAGACAAATTTTGGCCAATTGAAGAAAAGCCTTAGTACGGTATGGGTAAAGTGAAAGGCTTTCCTCTGCACATGTCCCCAGTCATTACAGGTGCTCACAAGAAGCTGTGTGTGGAGCAAATCCCAGGATTTGATGGCCTTGAAGGCTTTCCCAGACTGATTCTGAGAATTACTGTTCAGACCTTCCAAGTTCTAGTTTTGAGGGTTCTGATAAGCCATCATCCTCATCAGGATGAAACCCATGGGTGTCAGGAGCTGAGCAATCTGCATTGTACAGCCTATTAAAATCTTAGGTACAATTGTTCTTTTCTAAGTAATAAAGACAATGGTTTTTAAACATTCTAGGCCAAGTCAGACTACAAAGAATTTTGTTTTTAATAGTAGTTTTCCAACAGTTGCAAACATTGATTGGAGGCCATGTTGTGCTAGTGCCACTTAGCACCAGACAGTGGCTAAAACAGTCTTTTCCTAAGGCACCTACAGTATATGGAGGAGACACATGAACAGATCATTTCAAAGTAATGCAGTTATCTCCAAAATAAAAGTGCATCAGATGACATGGAATTCTTGGGGAAAGGCACTCAGCTCACCCTTGGTATTTTGGTCTAGAGACAGTGAGGCTCAAGAGTTCTGTGCTATGGGTGTGCTTTGATGACACCTAGGTGCAGTAAGATGTGTGTGTTAGCTTTGACCCCTGGAATTTACAGTCAAAGACACTGCAACTTGCCCCTAATGAGTAAACTTTAGAAGAATTGCAACTGTATTTATCTATGTCTATTCAAATAATTTTTCATAGTATCTAATTTATTACCTGCATGTGCCAGAATTATAACTTTTTCCTCTTTTGCTGTAGGGCACTGCTTTTAAAGATATCAGATAAATTAGGGAGGTAGGTCTTCCTAAATATTTGCCTTTGCTCTTACAGAACTGTAGAAAGAAAGAGTATATGTACAGATCTATACACTGTTGTTTGAACATTTCACTTAGCCAGTTCTCATAGTTTGTGTGGTTTTGGACAAACCATGGGGAAAAGGAAAACTGCTCAGTGTAGTAGCGGACGTTTCATGCAGTGGAAGATCCTAGAGGTTCTGAGGACATGGGCTTGGTGGGTCAGCTGGAGCTGTGTGGGATGCTGCAGAGTTGACCTATGACTTGCCGCAGGAGCTGCTGCAGCAGGTGTGTGGGGATGTGCTGTCCACCTGTGTGCACCACCTGTCCAGCATTATTCTGAAGGAGGATGGAAAAGGGAACATGGACAAAGACCTGTTGGTAAGCAGCTGCTTTGTCTAGCCATTCTTTTCTTTTCATATCAGTGGGGTTTTCTTAGGGTCATTTTGCAATGTACACTTCAGATACTATTAACAAGGAAAGAGCCTGCATAGCCTAGAGCTTACTGTCTTTTTAAAAGACGATTTAAAATTAGTAATATGTCTATTCATCCATTTTTGTCTTATGTGCTACTATTTGGGGGGGAAAACTTGATGGAATACTTTATCCAGTTAGATCTTACAAGAAACCTGATTCCCTCAAGAGAAATACAGTATGTGTGGTAAGCTTGGCAGAGTCCATCTTAGAAATGATATGGTAAGACTATGTAACTGGAGAATAGGGCTGAGCAGTTGTAATGTAAGGAGAGATTTGGGCCAGACCTGGTGGCTCACTCCTGTAATCCGAACTACTTGGAAGGTGGAGATTGGGAGGATAATGCTTTAAGGCCCGCCCAGGCAAAAAAGTTTGCAAGACTCCATCTGCACCAATAAAAGCTGAGTGTTATGGTACATGCCTGTCAATCCAGCTACATGGGAAGCATAAATAGGAAGATTGCAGTCCAGGCTGGCCTGGGCATAAATGCAAGACCTTAGTCAAAAAATACATAAAGCAAAAAGTGTGACTCAAGTGGTAGAGGACCAGCTTGACAAATGCAATACCTTGTGTTCAAACCTCAGTATGGTGAAAAAAAAAAAGCGGGGGGAGGAGATCTGACAATCCAAAACACAAATGATCTTGGAAGAGCCAGGTTATCTTACATGGAGTTCCTGCTTTGAAACAGTGCAATGGAAGAGAGACTCCTGTGAACCAGTCCACGTGTGAATCTGGTGGACTATTGACAAAATGTGTTAGGGAAATTCTGATCCTAACATCTGACACTGCAATAAAGGGAACAGCAAGCTGTTTTTTCATGCCCTTCAGTATGGGCTCTATTTAACCAGAACTGGCTGTTTTTCTCAGTTCTTTTCTGTACTCAGTTCCTGCTTTGCCAGCTTAGCTCTCATTGTTAGTGACAAAGACAAGTTTAGACTAGTAAAACAGAAGGCTGCTGTGCCTGAGGCACTGGGCACACATTCAGTAATAAATAGTCTCACTATGGGAATATGGATGTGTCAGGTACGGGGACTATAACATGTAGGGAAGACTTGGCCCAGGATTTCAAAGGGTCTTGTTTTTCTTAATTGTGTGAGAGAATCACTGTGCACACTAAGAAAAATGCTTGTCAAGCCAGGTGTGGTGGTACATGCCTGTAATCCCAGCATTCAAAAGCCTGAGGCAGGAGAATCATGAGTTCTAGGCCAGCCTGGGCTAAATAGTGAAATCATATCTCAAGAAAACAAATACATAAAATCCACAGTAGTGATGGCTGTAAGGAAGCAGGTCCACATGTATGTTCTGGGTAGGTATCTCCATAGTAAACCAATCTGGAAGACCATTTGGAAATCTGTTTTAAAATAAAATAGGTTTCATGCTCCTTAACCCTGGATTTTACTGCTAGAGAACTAGGACACAGTGTCCTAGTTCTAAATGCGAAGGTATTTACCAGAGCTGATGTGAGCATAGCAATGTGTTAGGAATAATACAAGTGTCTACTAACTCTGAAACAGTGAGCAAAATGGTGAAGACGTGCCTAGGTTTTTGGGGAGCAGTACCTGGGATTGAACTCAGGGCTTTGCACTTAGGTAGGCAGGTGGTCTATCACTTGAGCCACTCCACTAGCCCAGACATCCTTAGTCTTTAGATGGCATAGTTATTATTAAACACATTTGTTGTGTATATTGAACTGGCATGAAAGGATGCCTGGTATTCAGAGTAGTAGTTGTAACCTTCAAAGTATATAAGAAAAGCAAAGATAGCTGGGTGCCAGTGGCTCATGCCTATAATCCTACCCATTTGGGAGTTGAGATCTGGAGGATTGTGGTTCGAGCCCAGCCTGGGCACATAGTTCTTGAGACCCCCATCTCCAAAAATAACCAGAGTAAAAATGAACTGGAAGTATTGGCACAAGTGGTAGAGCACCTACCTTGCAAGTGTGAAGCCCTGAGTTGAAACCCCAGTCCCACCAAAAAAACAAAAAGAAAAAGAAAAAAAAAAACAGAGAAGATGAAACTGTGTGATTATAGAAATAGTATAAAAAGAAAGTTACATGCAATAATAATGCTATCTTGAGCCAGGTGTGGTAGGTAGTACATGTCTGTAATCCCAGCACTCAGGAAGTAGAGGCAGAAGGATCACAAGTTTGAGGCCAGCTTGGACTACATAGCTAGAACCTATCTTAAGTAACAAGAACAACAACAGTATTTTCCAGTGATGGTATTATAAGAAGATGGTTCTATGCCCTAGTTTACCCAGGATTATTCTAGTTTACACCTTTTGTCACAACATAATTATAATAGCACCCCATTTACTCACAGAAGCTTTTGGATTTAGATAATAAAATTGTATGGTCACCCTAATTTTGTATGAGTTTCACTAAGTAGCTACAGAATTTTTATAATAGCTATTTATTTTTCTGAAACAAAATAGTAATTTTTTGTAATTTGGGAGGAAAAAAATATTCCATTGACATGTTGTTACTCTAGAGTTTAATTTTCTTTTGCCTTATTTTTACTGAAAAACCAATTCTCTTTGCAGGTGAAGTACATTTTCACTTTAGGAGATGTAGCTCAGCTGTGTCCAGCCAGAGTTGAGAAGCGAGTGTTCCTGCTAATTCAGTCCATTCTGGTTTCTGCTGATGTGGATCGCTGTAAGGCCCCGAAGTCACGCTGCATGTGCTGTCTTAAGGCTGCGTAGACTACTGAGGCACTGTCAGTAAACCCTTTCCTCTTCCCTGCAGTACCATCATCTCAAGGTACCAGTGATGGTCCAAGCACTCAGCTGCCCTCCCAGAACAGAGGTTCTGTAATGCCTTCCGAGATTAGAGCACATGCCATCATCACCCTAGGTAAGGATGCCATGTGGGGAATGTGGCATGTGCTGTGTGCCGTGTGCCATGTGCTCTAGTTCTGATGGGACCTGCCAGCTCTGTAGAAGTGGCAGTGCTCACAGTGAGAGCCTCGGGGCCGCAGTTACCAAGACTGTGAGGCTCAGAATGCCATAGGAAGCAGCTTTTGTTTTCTAGTAGAATTATGTTAATTTATAACAATTACACCTGTTCTATATATTTTTTTTCTTTTAAATTCACAATGTAGCACCATGAAGTATGTTTATTAAGAAATGTACTCCAAAAGGACTGATAACCAGAATATATAGGGAACTTAAAAAACTAAATTCTCCCAAAACTAATGAACCAATTAAGAAATGGGCAAGTGAACTAAACAGAACTTTCTCAAAAGAAGAAATTCAAATGGCCAAAAAATACATGAAAAAATGCTCACCATCTCTAGCAATAAAGGAAATGCAAATTAAAACCACACCTCACCCCTGTTAGAATTGCCATCATTAGCAACACCACCAACAACAGGTGTTGGCGAGGATGCGGGGAAAAAGGAACCCTCTTACACTGTTGGTGGGAATGTAAACTAGTACAACCACTCTGGAAAAAAATTTGGAGGCTAATTAAAAAGCTAGACATTGATCTACCATTTGATCCAGCAATACCACTCTTGGGGATATACCCAAAAGACTGTGACACAGGTTACTCCAGAGGCACCTGCACACCCATGTTTATTGTGGCACTATTCACAATAGCCAAGTTATGGAAACAGCCAAGATGCCCCACCACTGATGAATGGATTAAGAAAATGTGGTATCTATACACAGTGGAATTTTATGCAGCCATGAAGAAGAACGAAATGTTATCATTCGCTGGTAAATGGATGGAATTGGAGAACATCATTCTGAGTGAGGTTAGCCTGGCCCAAAAGACCAAAAATCGTATGTTCTCCCCCATATGTGGACATTAGATCAAGGGCAAACACAACAAGGGGATTGGACTTTGAGCACATGATAAAAGCGAGAGCACACAAGGGAGGGGTGAGGATAGGTAAGACCCCTAAAAAATAATTAGCTAGCATTTGTTGCCCTTAACGCAGAGAAACTAAAGCAGATACCTTAAAAGCAACTGAGGCCAATAGGAAAAGGGGACCAGGAACTAGAGAAAAGGTCAGATCAAAAAGAATTAACCTAGAAGGTAACACCCATGCACAGGAAATCAATGTGAGTCAATGCCCTGTATAGCTATCCTTATCTCAACCAGCAAAAACCCTTGTTCCTTCCTATTATTGCTTATACTCTCTCTACAACAAAATTAGAAATAAGGGCAAAATAGTTTCTGCCGGGTATTGAGGGGGGTGGGGGGAGAGGGAGGGGCGGAGTGGGTGATAAGGAAGGGGGTAGGGGCAGGGGGGAGAAATGATCCAAGCCTTGTATGCACATATGAATAATAAAACAATAAAAAAAATTAAAAAAAAAAAAAAAAGAAATGTACTCCAGACACTACTGAGTTCTGGGAATGGAAATTGAAGTTGAATTCTTACAGGGATGGTTCATTTAATGCTTTCCAGACCTGGCAGGTGTGCTATAAGCACATTTGTCCATGAACTGAAATTGTTAATTTTGAAAACGCTGACCTCTGTAATGTAAATTTTTTCTTTAGTGTAATTGTGTACTTTATGGTAGATAGGAGTTATGAATGTTTTTTGTCACGTGGTTATTTTTAAAATGTCTAAGAACTGCAAATGAGAGCAAAACATTCCCCAGGCCACAAAACATGCAAACAAAATTCAGCAACTCTAACTGTGAACAAGAAATAAAATAAATGAGATGACATTTGCTCCTGCTTACCTAGAACATATTTCAAATTCATTAGAAGGTATATATAAAAATATGTATAGTGAAAAGTGAAGTGAATCATCTGTAAGGTTTTATTGGTCATTTTCCGGTAAATAAATACAAAATTCAAATGCTAACTTTAAAAGGGAGATAATTTTATTAATGTAAAGGAACATTCCACAGCATGTATCTGATGAAACTTTAAGGTATTTGGAACTTCCTACTATTTAAGATGGGTTTGTCCATCTTTCATTTTTTATTACTTGTAATTATGGGCATGGTGTTTTAATTTTCAATAAAACCCAGAGAATCGAATCCAAGCATCTTCCTCTCTTCTGGGACAGGGAAGTTGTGTTTACAGAATGAGGACCTTGCGAAGAAGAGCATCCCGGCCCTTGTGCGAGAGCTCGAGGTGTGTGAAGATGTGGCCGTCCGCAACAATGTCATCATTGTGATGTGCGATCTTTGTATCCGCTACACTGTCATGGTGGACAAGTATATCCCAAACATCTCCATTTGTCTGAAGGACTCAGACCCATTTATCCGAAAGCAGACACTCATCTTGCTTACCAACCTCTTACAGGTGCGTGAGAATTAGTCTATCCTTTTCCACTCTACCGCTGCTTCTGATTTCAGGGAAGATTCAGTTAGTATAGGAAATGGGCTTACTTTGTAGTAGAATCCAAAAATAATTAGTCTCATCTCTGGTTTAGAATATCACTCTTCTAATGTTCAGTACAGCCTTTTAAACAGATCCTTTGGGGTGCTGACATCCCTTTAAGCAATATAAGTTGCACTTTGGCACAGATAAACACCATACAGAGAAAAGCACGTCAAGTAGACAAATGGTTTGAGTTCTAATTCTGTCATTCTTGACTTTAACAAGTCCATGTTTCTCAGACTTAACTTCTCCTTTTGTAAAATGAGGATCGTATTCATCCTGGGCTGTCTCAGTTTTGCTGTCAGGGTCCAGTGAGGTATTTCAGTATGTGAAAGAACGTAGTGAACTGCAGAGCTCTACAGAGTACACTGAGAACATGTGATTGGCCTGTAGTGAGGAGGAAATAATCTGATTTCTAAAAACGACATTCACTAAGTTGTCTATTCTCATATGTTCATTTGTTCTTCTCACACGTTGTGTACCTAACAGAAACACCAATGCCTCCATCTCATTAAAACCATGCGATTTGAGTCTTTTTCCTACTACATTAGAAGGTTTGATAACATTCTGCCCACATATTCCTCCACATGCTTTCAAGATGGTTGGGAAGTGAGTGCTACCAAACTGAGCTCCTGTGTCCTAAACAGACCAAGAGCCAGGAGGTGTGAGGGTATGCAAAGCAAAGTGGACACGTGGCTGTGTGACTGGATGTGTTTAAGGTTTGCCAACTAAAACTCATCCCTCAGTGTGCTGGTTTCTCTTTGTACAGGAAGAGTTTGTGAAATGGAAGGGCTCGCTGTTCTTTCGATTTGTCAGCACTCTGATAGACTCACACCCAGACATTGCCAGGTAGGTCTTTCCCTCTAATCTCAGACAACTGAACAACTTATCTGATTTCTGGTGTACATGAGATTTCTTTTCTTTCAGACTGGCCCGAGGCTGAATTACTTGAGATTTATTGAGCTTTTGATAGTTGGCAGAAAAATGAGTAGATTTTCAAAATACTGAAACTATATAACAAATCTTTGTTTTATTTTCAAGTTAAAAGCAAAACATCACCAGATTCATCATTAAATAATTTTAGCATTGACCACATCTGTCATTGTTTATTCTACCTGAAAGCATAACAAAGAACAGTCCCTGTCTTTGTCATGTCAAACTGTACAAGATAGAAACCCTTAATTGTTGACTTAACCACATTGACTTCTAGCCAACAAAATGTTAGTTTTTATAAAGAGTTCTGACTTTCTTTTAAGTGCAGAAATTAATTGTAAAGAAGTTCTTTCCTTACCTCTGCTCTCCTCCCCTCCCTTCCCCTTCTCTGCCCTTCTCTTTCCTTCTTGCAGTACTGGAGATTGAACTCAGAGCCTTGCACATGCTAGTCTACTTGAGCTACACCCCAAGCGCTTCTGTTTTTATTTTGCTTTTGAAACAGGTCCTATTTGGGCAAGGAGGCAGGATTGTGAGTTTGAGGTTAACCCAGGCTGTCTTTGCCTCAAACTCACAATCCTGCCTCCTTGCCCAAATAGCTGGGATTACAGGTATGCACCACCATGCCTTGTCCCTTATATCATTTTTTAAAGCTTTGTTTTCAAGGGATTAAGAAGTGACCTGGAGAGTTTATTTCCTATGAATAATTTTCAAAGTGATTGTGCAGTTGGAAACTAGAATGTTGAATGTCATAGAAAAGCTACCACAGTGGGCAAAAGGTCTTTGTAGAGTTCATTAACTATAAATAGCTTAAAATAATGGGTCCCTCTGGTTCTGAATATGGTCTCCAGTAATGTAGTCTGAGTTCCATGGAAGAATTTCTGCTTAGTTTTCTCTGGGTATAATTTTCCAAAGAAGAATATTTCATATAACAAAGTGTGGTAGACGGTTAACATTCTAATCCTAATTAGTACTGTCTAGAGCCAGAAATAAATATCTAGGCTGTCAGTTTTTCTTTCTGTTTGTTTAATTGGGAAAGGGAGGCATTAGCTGTGCCACTCCCTCCTACTTCTCCTCTGTTTCCGGACATTGACCAGTGGCTGTGCTCTGCACAGTAAGTAGTAGCCCAGGACCAGGCATAATTTGAAGTTTTTGGAATGCTTTCAGATGATGAGCCAGAGATGGAAGGTGAACTGTTTAACCTGTGTTTCCTCATTTCCCCCCACTTTTGTTAGCTCCTGTGTGAACATATTAAAAAGACACAATATGTTTAACCCAATTTAAACACTACACAATATATACATGTGTTGAAGCATTACACAGTTCCCCATAAATATACAATTTTTATGTATTGGTCAAAAAAATTTTTTTTTTGGCGGCACTGGGATTTGAACTCAGGGCCTCACACTTGCATGGCAGGTACTCTTACCGCTTGAGCCGCTCCTCCAGCCCTTGGTTAAAAAATTTTTAATAAAAAATTTAAAAGAGTATCTTTAAAGAAAATCATTGATTAGTACATAAAATGTATGTAGAAGCCATGAACATAGAGCGTCAATCAGAAAGAAATGAGGACGGATAACAAGAGACTTTACTATGTAAGATTATTAGCACCTCTTCTAGCATTTTAACACTCTCTTAAATCTTTCAATTCTATCTCTGCATTCTAGGCTTGTTTAAACCATGGTTCAAATGTGAACCAGGGTTTTCCACTTTGAAAAGCCGGTGACTACGTGTGTTAACTATAATTTTAAGTTAATCTGTTTCCCAATTTTTAGGCCAAAGACCAGGCCTGTCTGTTTATGTCAAGTATATTAATTTTTCCCATATGTAGCTGCCAGTGCAACTTTACAGAGACTAGAGTAGCAGTCTATTGAATTTACTTTTGGTTCTGCTAGATTTCCTGAAGACTCTGGCATGGGCATTTATTTATTTATTTTTAACACCACTGGGGCTCTAACCCAGGGCCTTGTACATGCTAGGTAAACTACCACTGAGGTACATTCTAACCCTGTGTAGCAATTTTAATTGGTCATATAAATTCAAAATTTGCGGCTACAAAATCATATGACACATTTCCTCCTCTGCCCACTAGGTGGTGGCCTTGTAGTCCAGTGATACCCAAGAAACAAGCAGAGTGTACCTGGGCCATTGCTGCAAGTGCAAGAAGGCCAGGACTAGAAGAGTTCAAGGCTAGAAAGTGACGAATACAAAGTACCATTGAGAAAGAAGAGGGAGACAAGACAAAGATGGCTTGTTTTGAGAGAAAAAGGAAGTGCTCAGCTACCTAGAGAACTCAGTGAAGTTGCAGAGCAAGTAGGATAGGTGGGACAGTTGAACAGCTAGGAGGATAGCCAGTGTGCTCTGATGTCCTGTGTAGTGATGTAGCACAGGACATGACAGTGGTGTGGTGACACAGAGTGCAGTGTCGGGTCACTGGAGGCAATGCAGTTGGGAAAATGGAAGGTTAGGGTGGCAAATGAGCTCCTATATATGAGCACCGAAGACACTCTTGAGTCATGTTGGAATCTAGAATGGAGAGGAGCCGGCCAGATCAGGACTAGGAGTCCAGTGACAGTGAGCTTCTGAATTGAGTTTCTGAATGCCATTTAACTTGGGAAGAAACCTGAAAGAAGTAAGATTTTTGTTTTCTACTAAAGCCAAAATGAAAATGAACATCATTACCACATTGGGTTCTTTGAATCCTGGGTTTCAATTCCTAGTAAGAGAATAATAATTTTCTTTTATGAGGTTACTATCACTCAAATTTTCTTGGTCTTAACTTTGTTTTCCATGTGACACAATTAATGAATGTTGCTCCACATCTCTAGACAGTATCCCTGAGTTGATGATGTGATTATGTCTGGTCCTTAGTACTTGTCCCAAGGGATGTGGAGAGGCTGGGGAAGGCTGTTGACTGAGTCCTTACCTTGCTAAAAGCTTTCTGTGTAGCCATCGAAGTTTCTCTTCCAGGTACCTGGACAGTGTGCGGCCTCCTGATGCTAAAGGAATGTGATAGGAAGTATTACTTTGGAAAGTTAATTTAACTTTCAGTAGACTAACAAGAAACAAAATAGTCCCTCCTCTCTAGTTTATCAAACTCAAGCAGGTAGGAGTCTTTCCAGTCAAGACTGCCACTTGCCCTTTTAAAAAGTCCCAGTAGATAACAGCAAGATTAGACCTGGACGCTGGGCTGTGCCTATAACTTCTGGCATCTCATGCTGGAAAACTCTGTGACTCAGATTTCAGCCTTGAGCACAGGAATCTTGGGATAGTTTATGTTACTGTTGAATTTAGTTGTATAGTTTCCACGAGGACACGGACTCTACAGTATCCTGCCTGTCACTTACCTCTCCTGGTCTGGATTTGTGGCCAGGACTTTGAGAAGATTAGCATTTGGCTTCAACTTAAAGATTAGAGCAGCCCCTCTTCTTGCAGAAAAATTATTAGATTCTGTTTTTACATTTCCACGTATATGAATTCAGATCTAAGGAGAAAGTTCAGGTAGAGGTGGAAAATACTAGACCATAGTAGAATAGCCATATGAAAGATCACAGTAGGGCTAGTGAAGTGGCTCAAGCGATAGGAGCATCTGCCTAGCAAGCCTGAGGCCCTGAGTTCAAATCCAGTGCTGCAAAAAATATATATACTAAATTTTTTTTTAGGAGCTAAATTCTATTTTGGTGTACTGGGGTTTGAACTTAAGGCCTTATGGTTGCTAGGAAGTTGCTCTACCATTTCAACCATGCTCCTAATCAGAAGCTAAATTCTTATTGTTTCTTTGGGGAATGCTTTTTGTTTACTTAATGCTTTTCCCATTCTGGTCACAGATTATTTGCCAAAGTAACTTGTTTAGAAAGAACTTCATCTGATGATGCGCAGTTTATCATACACACACACACACACACACACACACACAGGGCTACTTGGGAAGCAGAGATGGGGAGAATTGTGGTTTAAGGCCAGCCCAGGCCACAAGTTCATGAGACCCCATCTCAGCCAATAAAAGCTGGATGTGGTGGTGTGCACCTGTCATCCCAACTACATGGGAGGCGTAAATTGGATGGGTCCAGGCTGGCCCAGGCATAAAATGAGACCCTATCTCAAAAATAACCAAAGCAAAAGGACTGAGAATGTGGATCAATTAGTTAAGAGTGCCTGCCTAGCCAGCTCATGGTCCCAAGTTCAACCCTCAATACCAAAAAAGAAAGGTTTGGGGCCTATGTGGAAGGATAGTGCCCAGGGTTTGCTGGTGATTCCAAAACTCAGTGAGGGCCAGTCATCCTGTGGAGGGTACTTGTCTTACTGGCCCAAACTATAAAGTTCTTATTGTTAAATCTCCACTCTGGAAAAAAAAATTTTAGGCATTAAAATTGGCTTTTGTTTATTATTGTGGACATCACTTTGATGTTGGAGTATGAGGGCCAGGTATTCAGGTGACCACTGTCATTGCGTAAACATTAAGGGCCACTGGCATCTGCTTGAAGTGGTTTGGAAAGGTTGGTAGGTTGTTTTTCCCATCAGAAGTGTAGTGGAAGGTAGTACCTGTTAGAATTTTGAGAGGAAACTGATAGAAAAGCATTTGCACTGACCTTGGCTTCAAAAAGGAAGCATTGAGCAGGGACAGACAAGACAAGTAGAATTTCTTCTGTGCCTTGATGTGAGGAAGCTGTTTATTGGGATAGATTTAGAATCCTTTGTTTACTGTTCTTTTCTAAGTTTTGCTGTTTGGAATAGCAAGTGGGTCTCCTGCTTTTGTCTCTTCCCTTTTTGCAGCTTTGGGGAGTTTTGCCTGGCACACCTACTACTGAAAAGGAACCCTGTCATGTTCTTCCAGCACTTCATTGAGTGTATATTCCACTTCAACAACTATGAGAAGCATGAGAAGTATAACAAATTTCCCCAGTCAGAGAGGTCAGTGGAGCAGCTGATGTGGTCTCTGTCTCTTGGTAAGAGTTGGGCTGAGGCTTGAAAGGTGCTGGCTGCTTCAGACACAGAGGTAGGAGATGTTGGGGTGTTTTGTATGCAGAGCATGGACACTGACCCTCACCTGGGTATTTATTGTGGTGATGCTTACTTTCCATGGCAGGACAATGTAAGGAGATTCAGTTGTGAGGATAGAGTGTAATCTCTTCAGTGTCCTTTGACACTCAGTCTTTAGGATACTGTTACAATGCTGTACAAACCATTGTCACCTGTGCTCACATAATGTGGTAAGACTGTCCCACTGTGCCACAGAGAGAAACGGCTGTTTTCACTGAAGGGAAAGGCAAACAAGGAGAGGCGAATGAAGATCTACAAGTTTCTTCTAGAGCACTTTACAGATGAGCAGCGATTTAATATCACTTCGAAAATCTGCCTTAGTATTTTGGGTAGGTATGGCGTGTTTGGGGTAAATGTGTGTTTAAAAATGAAATGCTGTGTTGATGGCAGCAGCATAGAGTAGGTGGGATGTGATACTACAGGAAGATCTATCTTCTGTCCTTTAGCATCACAGCCATGCCCTGTGCAGAGCCCCCTTGCAGGCCCCTGTCACAGTCCTGGGTGTCTCACAGCCCTGTGGATTTCCTTCCCCTCTTGGCTGAGGTGTTTCTCAGAAACTGGTCTCCTGTGCTCTCCTTCAGCCTGCTTTGCCGATGGCATTCTACCCCTGGACATGGAAGCTAGTGAATTACTCTCAGACACGTTTGCAGTCCTCAGCTCAAAGGAGATCAAACTTTTGGCAATGAGAGCTAAACCATACAAGGATCTCCTTATGGAAGAAGATGACATGGCTTTGGCAAATGTGGTCATGCAGGAAGCCCAGATAAAGCTCATCTCACAGGTGTGTATGCCAGTTCTCCGTCAGTGGACCTGCCGCAGCACTGTGCTTTCCCACAGTTATGGAGGTATACTTGGATTGTGGGGGGTCATTCTTACCAGTGGTTTAACTCTTGCCCAGGTGGTGGTGAGCCTAAGCATGCTTCTGCTTGCCTACCTGGATGAACCATGGTGCCTCAGCCTTACTCTCAAAACTGAATTTAATCTCTTCTTCCTGCTGCTGCTTCTATTTTATTCCAATTAGTACAAAGATCCCTTTTGGATAATTTGTGCTACAGCAAAACAGAGGTCTGGCATACTAGCCATGTGCTTACTTTGACCAGAAATACCGGATTTGCAATCAAGTGACTGGGAAAGGGCCTCATCGCCATCATTCTCAGCAGGTCCAGTGTTACTGTGCCTAGTGTGGATGGCTGGTTTGTACTTCCCACCTGAACCTGAAGGGTTTTGATCCCAAAGACTGATCACATCCAGTTTGCCCTGACATCCTGAGCATTTTAGTTCACATTACTTTTTTCATTTCCACTGGTTCTGACTTTTTTAAAGTCCTATGCCATTTCCAACAGTTCCCATAACACCCTTCTGTCTCTAGATTCCTCTCTTGCAGGCCATGCACCAACTTGTTACAGAACAGGTTTTTTGTTTTGTTTTTGAGATAGCATCTCGCCATAGCCCAGGCTGGACTGGAACTCACTATGTAGCACAGGCTGGCCTCAAACTCATAATTCTCCTGCTTCAGCTTTCTGAGTGCTGGGATTTCAGGCAAGCACCACCATGCCCAGCTCAGAGCAATCCTTTTTAGGTACAAACGCGATCATCTTATTCTCTTTAAAATAAACTAGAGGCAGATTGACTGCAAGGGGCAACAGGGAACATACTGGGGTGATGGATTGTAGGTAATTTTTGGTATTGGTTATTCAGCAAATTCTTCCATCAAAGCTAATGGGACTATTCTCTTAAGATGGGTAAATTTATTGTGTGAATGTTATGCCTTTAAAGAGTATGTTGGTGGTGTCCTGCCATATTCTGAATAAAACCCATTTTCCTCTAAGACATACAAGCTTAATATGCCTGTCCCCACCCTGGCCCTTTCTTTCCTTCCTCTTTGCCTCTCATTGCACTGGTCCTCAGAGCTGAGATGTGCTGTGTACTCTCCCACTCCACTTTAACACTGGTTCTTCTGTCTGCAGCACCCTCTCTGCCCACCCTCCCTGATACCCACGCATCCTAAGTGCACATTCCAGTCTACCTGCTTCTTCCTGGGTATTCCTCCTCCATACATAAGTGCCTTAACCCCTACCACTTGCCACGTCATGCACTTACCACAACACACACACACTGCTCCAGAAGCAACTTGAGAGCAGGAGTTCTTGACTTCATTTCTGTATCCCCAGAGGTTAATGTTGTGTCTGGGATAAAGAGGTCTTGGTAATTAATGCTTGTTGAATGAATGCATTGAGGCCACCTTTTATGACTGTTCCTAAACTTATCATCTGCTCATGTTTCTGTTTATTAAATTGCTTATTTTTCTGCCTGATAAGACTCTTTAGAAATGAGTGGTGGATAAGCAAGAATGATATTATTAAATTTGAGGAAAAAAGTACTTTTCAGGGTCAGAAAGATAAATCTGACATATGCATACGATAATGAATTATTTTTAATTCTGAGAGGTTTATTACAAAATATCTGAGTTACTGATAATTTAATTTTTTTCTTTGAAATAGTGTGTCTCATTATGTAGCTCAGGCTGGCTTCAAACACTCAATCCTTCCATCTCAGCTTCCCAAGTGCTGGGATTATAGGTGTGCACTACCTCATCTGGCTTGTAGCACTTTTAAAATGTGTGCAAAGTTGAAGTACATATGAAAAGAGACACACATACAAAGATGCATACACACACACACATATAGAGCTGGCCATCTTTATCTTAGCCACTTTTAAGCCATTGTCATTTCACCTACACTATTATAAAATGCCTCTTTGGATAGCAAGAGTGAGTGAGTTTTCACTGCAAAGGGGAGGATATTTCACAGAAGGACTGAATGTGAAGCCAGAGCCAAGGGTCCATGAGGAGATGTGTGTAGACTGGGAGCTTTTTGTTAAGTAATCCAATATATTTCTTACTCCTTTTTCTCATTTAGGATGTATGAGTAGTATTTATCCACATCCTACTGAGTTTTCCAGTGATGCTTACAAAATCTTGAGAAGAAAATCTGTATGTCCTATACACTCCGAGTATCATAATCAAAATTCAGAAAGAAACTTTTATGTGTGCTAGATTGGCTATACCAACAGAACTGGATCAAGGAAAAGCTTTTGCCTTTCAGAAGTTTGTACATCTAAACCATGCTTTTGTTTGCATTTCTACAGGTTCAAAAGAGGAACTTCATAGAAAATATTATTCCAATTATCATCTCCCTGAAGACGGTGCTGGAGAAGAATAAGATCCCAGCTTTGCGGGAACTCATGAACTATCTCCGGGTAAATGAGCTTGCGTTTTTAGATTGTGTCGCTCTACCCCCACCTCCACCCCATCCCCCATCCCAAACTCATTACTCAGGGTCTTCTACCAGTGTAGATAGACAGTGAGTGATAAGAACTCAGAAACTGTAATATTTACTTACAGGGGTTTAATTATAGGTACACCTGTTAGGCTGCCCTATAACTGCTGAGGAGAAGGCAGGGATTTTTACCAGAGGTACCGCTGAAGTTGCCCCTTCCCTTTCTTGGGCAGCTATTTGTGAAGCCTGACTCATATTACCTAGCATATTGTGTGTGTGTGTGTCTGAGTCTTTGTGTTTCTGTCTCTTCTTGGGATGAGGCTTCATATCAAAGACTTTCTCTGCCAAGTCAAGGACAAACTCATCATTACACTCCATCCTCTTAAAGGATGAAGTGAAATGTGGTCATCATGTTACTAGTGGGATGGTTGCCTTTCACACTTTCTGTTTGAGATGGATGTGGTCAGGAAGTCAAGACCCTGACGCAGCTACCATCCCAGGGCTACAGTTACTGTTCATGAATCAGGAGGCCAGGAGAAGGCTCAGTCTCAGTGACACCGGGAAATGTTTGCTTGCAGAGCAGGCCTAAGCAAGGCCTCAGACCTTTGACAGAATCTCTCAAAAGGGAATGATACAAGATTTCCTTTCCCTTAGAAGAGTTATTTCTCTGTTCACATTATATATTTTTCCCTCCAAAAAGGCTGCAAAAAATTGCATTGAATATAATTTTTCAAATAGCTTGTACCCTAAGGAAGATCAGGTAGGAAAGATGAGCTCAATGTATGGAAAAACATGAAAACTTGCAATTATTCTTAGATTTTTATTGTCCAAACTGTGTTAAACCTCAGAGTGGGGAAAAATGAAAATGGTTAGATCCTAAAACACATAAGCACTTGCGCAACTAGCATTGCTTCTGTGTGTGAGCGTGCAACCGAGGATGCCAGGTGCTGTGCTCAGCAGTGGAGTGACTTACCTGCAGAGCCCCATGGTGGTGGCTGTTGTCACCAATGGACTTCCTTCTCTGTGTAGGGGCTTTCCTCCTACTGGGAACTGCAGCATATCTTTTTCCTCTCTAACACTGTCAGATAAAAGTCTCTTTCTCTTAGCCAAGAGACCTTGTTTCTGGTAGCCCTCCTTAAGACCTGAGAATGTTCTTGGCCAAATGTGATGAAGGGTTTTCTGTAAAATCTTCAGAAGACAAAAATATGGGATTAGGGCTTATTTATGATCCCCTGGGCACCAGTGGGGCTAATGTAAACAGACAGCAGCTTCTAGGTTAGGCTGCCTCCTAGGATCTGCTACAGGGGCCTGTCTGAGGCAAGGACCATGTCTTTCTTCTACAGGGAACCTGGCAGATAGACAGGAAACTTCTTGAGGGATCAGAACTGTTAGTTAAAACCTTATATCATGGTCACCTGTTTGTATGGTTGGTACTTTCTTGGAAAAAATGCCATTATTCTAAGCACTTGTTTATGTAATAGGAATATTCTGTAGTCTGATCTCAGAAATACAAATCTCACTGTTCCTATTATTTATCAAGTTGCTTGGAGAGTTATTTCCTTTTTTCCTTCTTTCTTTATCCCTCCCTTTCTCTCTCTTTCTCCATTTCTCCCTTCTTTGATTCTTTGATAGGTTCTTGCTATGTAACCCAGGCTGGCACAGAACTTGTGTTCCACCTGCCTCTGCCTAAGTGCTGGCATTGCAGGTATATACCTCCATGTTCAGTGAGGACTTACTTCTTTATTCAAGAAACACTGAAGAATGTCTCTGGCTCTGTTTCAGGAGGTGATGCAGGACTACCGAGATGAAATCAAGGACTTTTTTGCAGTTGATAAACAACTGGCATCTGAACTGGAGTACGACATAAAGAAGTACAATGAACAGCTGGCCCAGGAGCAAGAGCTGGCAAAGCAGGCTGATGTGAACAGAGCAGCTGACAGTGGTGATAGTACTCAAGCCATTCAGGTAGGGGAGGCCCGCCTTAGGCTGACCAACTGTCCAGTCTGCTCTCTGCTGTCAGTTTTCCCAGCATTCTTCAAAATCCACAAGTAGTCAGAGGTCACTCAGAGTTGGGTCTTAGACTTGCAGCTTGCTGGCCCATACCATTCATCAGTTACATGTGCTAGACACTGGCAGTTCAAGGCCTTCCTTTCCACGGTCCCTGTCATGGGGTATTGCCTGGATAGTTCGGTAGTAGTTGGGAGAAATGTATGAGTACCCAGAGGCACACTGGCAGAGGGCAGCTGGTCTTTAATTACAGTGGCCACCCACTACTCGGCCTGCCTGCTGTTTTAGTTTGTCATGGTTTTTCTCATAGCTGCCCCTCTTGAGAGCATATTGTCCCTGAAGGTGTTTCTGCTGCTCACATGAGAAGCATGATGTCCTCATTGCCTAAGAAATCCAGACGGATCTGCTGCATTAAAAAGCAGTGAAGACAGACTTGCCACAGCATCTGTGTGTAGCATTTTCCTGATAGCTGTGTTTTGAAGAGAAAGTTGTACTTGCCCAGGGCTAATCTGGCTTAAAATAGATTATATGCAGGGACTTGTTCATAGCATGTGAAGAGTCCATTCATCTTCTGTAACAGGTTGCTCCTGGCTTGGAAGTAATGCCAGCTCTTGCTAGCCAAGAAAATGCCACTGTGTCCCCAGCTGTGGGTCTAGCTGTAACACCTAAACCCAGCACTGGCTACCAGCCAGCTTTGCCTTTTACACCGGAGCCTGGCCCTCTGAAGATGTTAATCCCCAATGCCAGGTAGGAAGCCTACTGAGGTAGTGGCGGGCTGAGTCTCTCCTGGTATTCTCAGAGGTGTCTCCTGTCCTCAGCAGCCATCTGCGGGAGCCTCATCACTGTCTGCTGATGCCTTACTACACACCCTCCTGTTGGAGAATGGGAAAAGGGTGGATGAGGAAGTAGGCAAGGGTCGCAGTGTCTCCTGCTGCCTCTGCAGTGCTGGCTGCATGTTGTCCCCACAGGCCCATGTCCCTGAGCACTATTGCCATTCTGAATTCTGTCAAGAAAGCTGTGGAGTCGAAGAGTAGGCACCGCAGCCAGAGCTCAGGAGTACTGCCCTTCACTTTAAATTCTGGAAGCCCAAAGAAAGCAGGCCATGGTAAGCATGAACATTGGTGCTAAATTTAGGGAGAACATGCAGCTTACAAAAAAGAGCATGTCTCCTTCTTCATTTCTTAATGCTTTCTTTTTTTTTGTGGTACTTGGGTTTGAACTCAGGACCTACACCTTGAGCCACTCCACCAGCCCTTTTTTGTGATGGTTTTTTCAAGATAGAGTCTCATGGAACTATTTGCCCAGACTGGCTTCGAACCATGATCCTCCTGATCTCTGCCTCCTGAGCAGCTAGGATTACAGGCACAAGCTACCAGTGCCCAGCGCTTTCTGTTTTCTTATCTTTAAAACAAATAACATTAATTGGAGTTTTAGGATTATAGGTAAGAAAACAGTGCATAGCTATACTAAAAGATTTGATTAATGGAGTAAAATATAAAATATCCATCATAGTAAGGTGCTTATTCTTCTAGTCTTTCCACTCCTCATATACACGTTATGTTTTGTTTATTTACAGATTGTGGTCTTAGTGTGCGATGTTGTATAACCCGCTTCCCTGCACATACCTGAAATGATAAACAGTGAAAATTTTCCCATAAACTTTCAAAATTTTTCTCCCAGTGGTTTTATAGCATTCCTTCTTATAGGAGTACCAAAATTTTATTTCTAACCTATTACTTTTCAGTTTTTTTGGTATAATGTCACAGTACTATCCTTGCACATATTGCCCTGTGTGTTTCTTCTAGTTAAGATTATTTGCAGTGATTAGAGGCTATGAATATTTAAAAACCTGAGTAGTGTCCATTATTCAGTGTTGGTTTTTTTTTTTTTTTTTTTTGGTTTGGTTTTTTTTAACCATTTTCCATCATCTTTGCTGAGTTTTATAAACTAAAAAATGGTATGGTTTTAATTTAATTTCCTTGAATCCTAGTTGGAATGAACATTTTCCCTGGGGTTTATAATTTTTTTTGTGTTGCTTTCTGAATTGCCTCTTTGTAAGAACACTTTAAACGCTGGGAGCTTCAGCTTTATCATCTATATCTTGTGCTTTCTCTTTTATTATTTTGTTCTGTGATACTGTTTTCCGTTCTATACTAGCAACTTCCTATAGCTTGGAGCAAGAGTCTGATGGTGCCATCAACCACATGCGGGCAATCAGCACCCCGGAGAGTAAGTAACTAATTTGAATGAACTGGTTTCTCTTAGCTCTAGCCTACAATTGCTATGTATCTTCTGGAGTAGGAAAAAGCTTTCTTGTTGCAGGATAATTCTTATAATTGGCTAAAGCTGTCCTGATGCACAACTGCACTGAATTATGTTACTCAGATGAAATGTTTCACAGTGATCCTAATTGCTGGATTTACTGAATGTCAAGCATGCTCATCAGTGTTTTTGCACATATTAACTCAGCTAAACCTTACAACAACCTGTGAGGGGTCCTTGTGTGACAGGTGTGAAGCTGAGGCCAGCCCAACCTAGACCAGTACCATTATTAGAGGTAGTCTTCTTTCTGCCTCCTTGCTATTGCAGGTATATTGAATGGTGTTCGGGTGGTCTGCCCTAGGGAGTGGTCAGGTTGGCATTGCAGTTACCTTGTGTGCTCTGGAGTTCTGGCCCGGAGCAAACTGAAACTGGGGATTCACTGGTTTGTTGAGGATCATACCCCAGCTACACCAAGAACCTGTGTCTTCTCACTCCCCACCAAGAGTTCTTTTTTCTCACCTTTTCAAAATAGAGGCAAGTTAGAAGAGTATTTTTTTCCTATTTGTTTTGTTTTATAGTTCAATGCATTATTTTGAGAAAATTATTATACAGGTTGAAGATCCCTTATTCAAAATGCTATGGACCAGAAATGTTTCAGATTTCAGATATTTTTGGATTTTGGAATATTTGCATACACATAATGAGATATCGTTAGGAGATGCATTCATGTCTCATATATGCCCTACACTCCATCACCTGATGGTTGGTTAATTTTACACAGTATATTTAGTGCACTATGTTTAGTTGACTGCCACTGCCACAAGGTCATGTGTAGAGTTTTCCACTGCAATCTTATGCCGGCACTCAAAAAAATTTCAGCTTTTAGAGAAATTATTACTGTTAGAGAAATTACTGTCCAAAATATGCACTGTAGTTTCCAAGAGCCTGCCTTGTGTGTCCCTCTGTGCCCCAGCTCTGTGTGTCCTCTCTGTGTGCCCGTATCAAGCCATGCTTCCCTGATTCAAGCCAATACTCACCAGTCATCATCTGGAACACCCGTTTCCTTGACCCTTCAAGCGAGAGTAGGCACCCTCTGTACCCTCTGCCCCTGCATACCACCCTTCTGTGTTCATTTTCTGTCCACCATTGCTGTTTTACTTCTTTATCCCGACCTCAGAGTCTTGGACATAGTAGGTGTCACACCGAGATCTTTCTAGTTCAGAGTTGACACCTGAGTTTAGGACCCTGATTCCAGCCGCTGTGTCCCTTTCTAGCCTGTCTCTCCTAGTTCTGATCCCAGGCACAGCAAGATGAGAACAGTGTTAATGTTCTCCTGTGTGGTAGTGGGGCAGCACAGGATCAGCCATTCGGTTACTCACACCCGTAGTCACTGTCTGTGTTCTAGCTGCTTGCTTTGTTGGTCTGTAACTTGTGGTGTCTCCGAATATGTATGCTGCTATAGATCCTTTTCATCCAGGGCCCCTTTTAAAGGAGACTAATGAACAATTTCCCACCTCTTCTCAGACAACTGAATCATGATGGGTTTGGTCATGAAAAGAGTGGATAATTCTGGCTTCCTATATATTGACAGGTGCAGTGTTGCATATGTAAAGTAGTCCGCCCCTGTCAAGAAGAATTTTCTCTCTGTTCTGTGTTCCTGGCTCAGGGCACCAAATGCTTCTATTTTGGCAGTTGGGCACCATGTGCTGAGAAGCGGGGAGAATGCATCTCACTTTAGTTTTGTTTATCCCGAGTCCCTGATTTTAGCCTCTGATCTGGCAGCATGTGTTCCTCAGCAGTGACACCTGGCACAGTACACTAAGGCTATGTAATTTGCATGTGAGAACTCATGTTTGCACTGAAAATTAGACTCCCGTGTCACTTGGGCCAGGACAATTCTTGTTCTTTCTGCTGCTGAATGCAGTTTTCCTGTTGATGTAGCTTCTGTCCATCTCTCTTCTATCCTTCCTAGGAGCATGCTTTATGAATACAACTTCCTTTTTTTTTTTTCCCTGTGGTACTGGAGTTTGAACTCAGGGCCTACACCTTGAGCCACTTCACCAGCCCTTTTTTTGTGATGTGTTTTTTTTAAGATAGGATCTTGCTCCAGATCTCTGCCTCTTGAGTAGCTCGGATTACAGGCATAAGCCACTGGTGCCCAGCTATAACTTCTTTTGATGACTCTTTGAGTTTAGGTGGAGGTGACTATCAAAACATGGTCTCAGCTCTGCAAGGCCAGTAGGAAGAAGGCTGTATCCTGAACAGTGGTTTGCTAAGTGGGAAGGAGTAACTTTCAGAGCTAGAATTTTTACGGAAAATATGTTAGGGGCTTTGCAAGGCCCTTTTACTGCTGTAATTCAGGCAACAAAGATGCTTCTGCCTTTGATTCTAAGCAGAGTGCACTGTGAATGTGAGAACTACTGCACAGATACTTTTTTAAAGGTGCAAGAGTTATTACCTAGATTGTGTGCAGGCTTCCGGGTGGGAAAAGCAGTGTGAATGTAAGGAAGGGGGATGGCAGGTGGTAGCACAGGGAGAGACTTCACAGGGACAGGAATGAACAGCTCTGAGCTGCCTTAGTAGCAGTGATAAAGGTGGAATTCTCTACCTGTTTATCTACAGCTTGGGTAGAATATCACCTACAAAGGTACAGTCTGAACTCCTAAGACAGTGACAGTGTGTGGAGAAAGGTGGGAGCTGTAGCGCTCACCTCACAAATGTGCTCATGGGAGGGAGGGAAGGCTGGACCAGCCTGAGCACATAGCTCTGCAGCTTAGGCAGAATACAGGGTGCCTCGGATGAGGCCGCTCCTGCAGGGCTGCAAGATGAGATGTTGTGTTGTGGGTAGCTGGGTGGCAAGGCGGGGGCTGCAGGTCTGAATGGCCAGGGCCTGATGGAGAACAGTAATCCACAGACACAGTGGACACATGACCAGAGTGTGCATGAGTCATATGAATTTGTAAGGGCAGCCTGGGGCATCTCAAAGTGAGGTGGATTTTGGGCTGTCCTCAGTATACAAAGCCATTCAGGTGCCTAAGCAGGGCAGTGACTTTACCCATTCTCTAATTAAACATAGGGAATATTCCCTGGACATAGGGAATATTAGCTAATAAATTATTTCATCAGCAGTTAACTTTGAAATAATCTCCTTTAATCCTGACAGTTCTTTGTGGGGTTAGGTATGTTTCTGTTCCTATTTTAAAGACTAAGAGACTTGAGGTGCTACCACTACTAAGACCAGAGCCAGGGTGCAAACCCTGTATACTTCAGTCTCTTCCTAAGCACTGTGCTCCCCTGTCTGCTAATGGTGGGTTGGAGAAAGAGGAGGCCATGAGAGTGGGGGTAAACACAGTGCAAGGTGAAGAACAAGGGAAAAGATGGAATGAGCTGTTATGGTGAGGTACAAGGACAGGTAGTGTGAAGGACATACTTGGGAGCTAGAATGGACAGGACTTGGTTACTTATTCTATAGGGAGTACCTGGCAGTTCTAAATTGGGTAGTCCACATCACAGTTACACGTTGAGGTAATGAGTTTGTACCACTCTTCAGGGAATCCAGATGAGGTAGGATAGGGAGTATAGAGCTAGCCCTCTTACTGCCCCCAACTCCAGCAGAGCTCTTGAGTGGAAGTAGAGGTTGGTAAGAAGCCAGAGGTGGAAGCAGTGAAGACTCAGGGGCCACAGAGCAGCCTGAGGAGGGCTGTGGTCAAGAGGGTAGGTCAGGAGGAAGGAGTTTACCCATTAAGTCCTGGGAAAAAGGTCGAATTGAACCTCAACTGATGGCCATCATTCCGATATGAGAGACCAGAGCAGGACTCTGACTCACTCAGGTGATGTTATGTGATGCCCGCCTGTGCACCATCTGCTTTTTATTAACAGCATTTCTCTCCCCCTTAACCCAGAGTCCATCAGTGATGTCACCTTTGGAGCAGGGGTTAGTTCTATAGCAACACCACGGACTCCTTTTTCAGCCAAAGGCAAGTTCTGTTTTCTTCATCTGATATACCAGCTGCCCTTGAAGTTCTGGGAAATCTGAATTTGTTTGTTTGATTCCTTTTCAGAGAAAATTGAAGTCCAGAGTCAAGGAAATGACATTTTATGTTTATCACTGCCTGATAAATCGTAAGTTTTCCAAAGGGTTCCTTTTGAGGTAGATGATTTTTGTCAGGGTCTTTTTCTTTTAGTCCCAAGATTGACAGTATCATTTCTTTTCCCAGGTCTCCTCAGCCCCAACAGTGGAATGTGAAGACTCTAGTTAGGAATCAAGACAACCCGAGCCCCAGTAGGAGGTCCCTCCGAAAGACCCCCCTGAAAGCAGCCAACTGAAACAGGTATACTCCAGCCAGTGAAGAACGCAAGAGCCTTATGTGTGGAAAGGCAGAGGGGTCACCTGCCCTCTGCTTGAGTGACACTCCCCTTATGTAATACCAAAGCTCTTCTTAGGACCCAGCACTGTATTTGTTCATGTCTGCCTGTCCAAACACCTACATTTCTCTTTATGTGGTTAAAGAATTGTAAAATAATAGAAGTGCTAGGCTTAGATTTTTCTTATCCTGAATTTAAGCTGTTTAATACTGTAATTTTATTCCATTTGAGTATCAAGTCCATTGTGATAAGTTATAATCTGATCTTTAAAGGAACACAACTTAAAAAAAAACTTTAGCTTTTATATAAATAAGCTTCTGTTAGTTTGTTTGAATTCCTTGTAGTACATATTTTCCCAAATCTAATGACAAAATTTGATTGTAATATTTTTCTATTATTTATAATTGCAGATTTAAAAAAATGTAGTTTTCTAAAAGGAAATAATAAAGGTTAAACAAATAGCCTCCCAACATTCAGTAAGATTTTTCTGGTTTTAGAACAGAGCTCTTACTGGGTAGTCATCTTAATTTTACATTTAACTATTAAGATTGAAACCAAATCTTTCTTTAGGAAAAAGATGATTCTGTTTGTCTTTAAGGTTTGGTTCACGTGTCTGCCTGCCTTTATCCCCAGAAGGAAGCTGTATACCTCGTAACAACAGACATTCTTACTGGCACAAGGTATGATGCCTGCTTGTAAGAAAAGGCTTCATGACCTTCATGTACTGTGGCCTTGAGGCCAATCTGTGTGACACTCTGCTAAGGACAGCCCCACAGTGGGGAGTGATTTTGAGTCTCTTCTTTTGGCACCGTTAGGTGAACCTAAAACACCATGTTTGTTCAAAGACGCCCAGAAAGAAATGCAATTGACTGTTCTTTAAATTTTGCAGGGGTTTTTTTTGAGATGGGTCTTACTCTTGCCCAGACTGACCTTGAGCTTCTGGGCTTAAGCAATCCTGCCTCAGCCTCCAGAGAAGCTGGGACTATATGTGTGTACTGCCATGCCTGGCTTGTTCCTTTTATTTTTGTAGTGCTGGGGATTGAACACAGGGCCTCGTGTGCTAGGCAAGTGTTCTGTATGGAACTGCATCCTCATCCCTATTTTTTGAACCCCGTACTGCAGAAGCAAAAAGTACAGAATTACTTTTTTTTTTCTTTTGAACTTGAAGTCTGTCCCGTGCAGTGCTGGGCAAACCCAGGACCTCATGGCTAGGCAAGTGCTGTACTACCAAGCTACATCCTGTAAGTAAGTTACTACGTGTGTTTTTAGCCTACACGTGGTATTGGATTTGGGGAATGGAAAGTCACTGTTTTGCCCATAGCTCTCCCAAAAATAAACTGTGACACAGGTGGCTTCCTCATTGGTAGGGTAAGTCACAAAGCTGCTCTTGAGTGGTCAAACTTTATTCCAGTAAGGTACTGATTTCTATACAGACCTTTTCAGTATACCTTGCTAATACAATGTTAAGACGACACAGTAAACCCAATGTAAGCACAAACAAGAAAGAAAGAATAAAGCAGGGTTTGATTTGTTTTTTAAAAGCTTTTATAAATGAGATTTTAACAAATACCAAATTGCAGGTGTGTTAGTACAAGTCTGTAACACCTATGTACAGCAACATCCATACCAAAGGCCAGAAGAGCAGCCTGGGACAGACCTCTTTAGTCTTCAGTCATATTCATATCCTAAAGACATGCGATTCCTCCTTCTATGAAGCTTTACAGTCACAGGCTGCTGCTTCCCAGGCTCAAAAGTTGCCCTATCAGACCCCATTCCCATGGCCCCGTGGCGGAAGGCTTTTGGGTGTAAAAAGGAAGGTGATACAGCTACCCTGTCACTGTAATAGCCATAGGAAGCTAGCTAACCCCAACAGTTAGACTGGGGCAGCCACTCTTTCTTCGCAGAGGAGGAGAGATGAGGGGTGATTTTAACTAAGCATTCAAGATGCAAACCCAAGAGAAGATAGGCACCACCAAGTGAGCGGAACTGCTGCTTGCTGCTTCTGCCAGTTATCTCATGGCAAGCATTTCACAGAACATGGGAAGAAACATCAAAACGTCTCAAGTATTCAATGAAAAAAAAAAGTGGAAATATAAAAAGTTAAGACACTGGAATTTGAATCACAAGGTGACTACATTCTATATAAAAACCATCCAGGTGCACAATGGAATTAGGTGCTCCTTTGAGAAGCTCCTAGCTTCAAACCACTTCACATCATGAGTCTAACAGCAGTGTTTGAGGCTGAGAACATCTGCTCTTAAAGAACAAAGGCTTTTGGATATTTCTAATGTCCCCTACAAAGTGAGCAGTAGCTTAGCTGAAATAAAATATTTTAAATCAAAATTAGGAAACTGCTTTTGGTTCAGGCATTTTAGTTTCTTTGCCTCAGCTTTCTACCCTGACTGTACTTCCTGATGATCTTCAAAGGGCTAGACCGGCTGCCACCACACAATGGCTTATTAGGAAGAAGAGAGAACCTGTGGCATCAGAGTGCTTTCTTCGTGGCAAAGAGGAACAGTGGGATACATTTTCTTTTAAAAATATTGTATTGACAGATTTGATTTCAAAATTGCCTTTGGCTCTAGACAATCTTATGACCTATACAAATAATGAAAATGAATTTCAAAAACAAATAGCACTGACTGCTTTGTTTTGTGAGCCATCCACAACCAAGAGGAGGTCTGTTTCAGGAATGCCATGTGGAGGACACCAACTTTCCTGAAGTGTCCACCTAAGAACCACCAAGCACTACACAGCCCATCAACAGTACCACAAGGTTAAATGGAACACAGTGTGTTCAGGGCCGTAAGAATGGAGGAGAGCATTCTGGTCAGCACTTATAAGTTAGAGGCCAAAACTGTTGACTAGAGTCAATCAACTTGTCTGTATGTGAATCTCTAAGAGCTTCTGGCAGACTTTGGGTGTAGGCAGTTTTAGTAATCTCAGGAAGAGGCTGTTCAGTCACCTGAGGGTTCCTGAGGTTTCTTTTGGAGAGGTGCAAACAGGTATCAACATTGCTAGACTGGAATTTTTTAAAGGCTTCCTAAGCAACAGTGGTCTGACGGACAAACAGCATAAGTTTTCTTATGAAAAGTTTTAAAACTTGTATGGACAAAGGAATGTTCCAGTAAACCTCCTTGAGAGGATTTCTTGGTTTATTCTTAGTTACTGGTATTTTCCAATTTAACATTAGTAACTTGGAACTTCTACCTTAAGTCGAACTCTTTTAAAAAAATATGTTTTGTAACACTGTATGACAATATATTTACAGTTTAAATAGAAAATTTCTTTTTAATCAAAATACATCTTTAGCAAAAATTTAGAATGTAAAATCTTATAAAATAAGCAAGACCCACAGAAAAGCATACTTTAGTACCATTTCAGACTTGGCCTAAGACAAGGGTTTTCTTCTTTAGATCCCGACACCCTCTTGGGCAAGCAAGGGTTCCTAGGGTAAGAACAGCCCTCTTGTAGCAAACAGTCGTCATCCTGATTTTGGTTTTTATAAAATGCTGATGGAAAAAGATTCTCCAGGACAGATACAACACTGATCACCAGAGCCTTAGGAAAAGAGCACAGCGGGGTCCAGGGCCTATGGAGCCAGGCATAGTGTGCTGTCTCCAGGCTCTTGCTACACTCACACTGCCACTGCTGCTGCCCAGCCCAGGAAAGCTGATGTCACCAAAACCTTTAAAATCACCCTACTACCCATGTGGAAATTGGGCCTACAACAGACAGGACCCAACTCACTGAACTCATTCTGATTCTTGTCCCAGTGGTTCCTGTGCCCATCTTGAAGATTCTTTTATTTGTGTGGCTTGTTAAGAGTAAGAAAGGAGTAGCGGTCAACTTTGGCCAGAACAATAAGCTTCTGCACGGTGTCTAGCTCTGTCCAAGTGCATGCGGCTCACTGCTGCCCTGGCAGGAGCTTCTGGTAGAGGTATTTGGGTGTGCTCACTCAGCCACACAGCCAGGTCTCAGATCATAAACGATGACTTGTGTCTGAAGTCGCCCTGCAAAGGCAGTACAAAATTAGAACCAAACCAGGGACTTAGTGAAGTGGTTAGGAAAACACTGGTCAAATGGGATGCGGGCTAAACATGTCCCAAAGGGGGAAACTAGGGGAATAACTAAAAGCAGAGGAGATAGTAACATCTGTTAGCTCTTAGAAAATGTGGATCCCATCAGCGTGTGCAGGTTACCATGAAAAGCCAAGGAGCACGGGTATGCAGCATAACTCAGAAATCTTCCTCCAGGACCACTGGGTTGAGGAAGGAATGCCGTTTCCCTGGCTGGACACACCGAGATGCCAGCTTTCCTAAATACTGCCTGCTCTCTTCCCTCCTTACCTCCTCATCCGTCCTGATATAGTTAACTCCATCAGGCTTCCCTGGGCTCTTGTAACTGTGAACAGAAGAGACCAGCTCAGTGGTGTGATCGTTGTACTAACACCAGCCTGAACTTCACCTTCTTTAGGTAAGGCAGGCTCACCTTTCTCCTTCCTGTTTACTGTTGATGAAGTAGCCACGTCTATATGCACAGCAGATGCCTAATGTTATCAGGGCCAGGACGACCAGGACGACCAGAACCCCCCCAATAATTCCAGCAATGTTCAGGTCATCTGCAGAAAAGAAGGATTGTGGGAAGAGATGATACATAATAACTGTTCTTTCTGAAGAAGCTGACTGCACTGTGTGGCCACCTTCCTTCCCTTTCCATCCCTCCATTCACTCCCCTCCTCATGCCTACCACAGTCATAAGAGCAAACTACAATCTTTCTAGCCTAGAACATACAGGACACCAAAACCTGTGGTATCACATGTAAGAAATACTAAGACTTCTATAGGTCATAAGCAGTTACACTGAAAACTATTAAGAGGGGTTTGGCAGTATATAAAAGGATTAAAAATCCTCTGGCTAAATCCCTAAGAATATTAATTGAAAAAGTGGTTATATTATATGTAACATTAGGAACCAGGAGCCCAAAGGAAGAAAAAGTTCCTAATTTTCAGAGCCTTCCTTTGCTGTGGATTACTTGGGGCAAGAAAGCTTGAAGCCTTAAAAGTAAAAATACTAAAGGAAGAGAACTTAACTTTCACTCCACTGGTCACCTGCCTCCAGGCCCTCTTAGAAGAAGCTCCAGAATTCCATTTTCCCATTTCTGTAGCAGGCACAGGCACCTGATCAGTCACCTTCAATATGGGGGCAATGTACTATTTTCTTTATGCAAATAAAATGCATGAAAAATATGCAGGGAATGGATCAACTAAGGTCCTTCCTCCAGAAGAAATGACCCAAGAGTAGTTTTCCAAATTTGATAGATGAAAAGAATTACCTGGAATTCTTGTTTTACACATAGACATTTCTAGCATGTATCTGGTCTGGGCCCTGGAATCTGTATGTGGAACAATGGTCCATATAGTTCTCGACAAGCAATTTTGGCAACCGCTGTTCCAGGGGTGGTTACAACAGAGAAGGATTGATGAAGCTCCCCAAGTTAGTCAGCATTCCCTATCCACTGCTTCTTCCTCGCACATCTTCCCTTCAGAACCAGTACCCTGCAGATGACCTTACAGGTAGGATAAAGATACTGGGGCAAAAGCTCTTGCAGTTTCTTGCAAAGCAAATGATGGATAAATTTCTAAAGGACTCACACAACCTCGTGTTTCAACAATTATACCGAATACCACAGAAAGGGAGTTTATCCCACGCTGAAAGTTAGAGGACTGGCCATGTTTCCAACACCAGAAGAGCTCATGAGGTGCGTCTTGGAAACCCCCTTGTGCTTTCTCATCCTTCAACTTCCCCAGTGGATTTTACTGGATCCTATCAGGTCCAGAATAAAGATGGCACATGGCAGAACCTCATCTAAACTGATGGCCTAATATTCAACTTTAAACGTTCTGTTCATTTCCCAGTTTTGCAATGAAATCTTTTCAAAAAGTAACTTACAGACTTCCATCTCCTGTTCCTCACACCTGGCTGACCCTGCATCATTAGAAGCAATGCAGTAGTACTGCCCAGAGTCCTCCTTGTGAACAGCACTGAAAACCTGTTTCAAGAAGTGACAAGTAAATAAAGAGACCATCAGCAGGCAGACCTCTGACAGATAAACATTGAGGGTGCCACCCAAGGTCCTGCCAGAGCTAGAACCTGGTTGGGCTTGCTTGCTGTTGGTCTCTCTGTTCTTTGCAGGCACCACTCCATTCCCTCCCTGCCATACTTTCCTACCACTATCTCAGAGCTCTCCAACACTGAGCTCCCCTGGTGTGGTGAGGCCACTTTGCTTTATCCTGTGCAACTTGTGAAGGACTAGCAGTGACCGTCCCAGGCCACACCAACAACACAGACACCAGGGATCCTGTTATAACTTGCCTAAGCACCACAGGCAGTTGGATAGTCCATAGATCAGAAAGCACCTCCCCACTGAGAAACACACAGAGAAGCCTGGAGTGGCTTGTGGCAAGGCCAGCCTCTTCTCTGGTGTGTGACCAATGTCTCCTCTCCCCAAGCAGTGCCCCTCACCACTGGATTATGTTGAAGCAAATTCCATACATATGTATCTAGAAAATAAGGACTTTAAAAACCAAAATAACATTATCATGGCTAAAACAATTAACAATTACTTAATATCAAAAAATCTAGCCAGTAATCAAATTTCCAATTTTCTCGTAATGATTTATACAGCTGATTATCCAAATCAGGACTCAGTGTCCACCCATGACATTTGCTTAATATCCCTCTTCAGTCTCTTCTTTAATTTCTTTTCACCCTTACCATGTATTTATAAATAGGGAGGGCTACTTTTCCTGTAGAAGCTCCAGCATCCTGGATTTTAGCTCCTGTTTTATGAAATTTTACTGTCTCTCCTTAACCACTGTTCCCACAAAAATCATCCCTTGCCCCAACAAAGAAATTTCCACCCTCCGCTCTCAGAAGAGATCTTACCAGAGTGCCTGTCTCAGAGTTTAAGAGAAAAGAGGAATTGCGAAATCTGGGGTTGGCCCTGGAATCTGTGGGCAGCGGCACATCGTTGCGGTACCAGCTGTAGTGAGGCCGGGGATAGCCCGCGCTCTCTTGGCACTGGAGTGTTGCGGTCTTGCCTACAGGCACAGCCTTCGGTACTCTGCAGACAGGGGTTACTGGCTTCACTGCAGGTAAAATACAGGTTGATGTTTAAAATCTCAGCCACAAGGCTCTCTTCTTACCGAAGCCCGCTGTAGTAAATCAGATCCAGGGTACCAGGAAGCCAGTCACAAGGCTCCTGCGCCACTGCAGATTCTGCAGACTGCCTGCCACTCTGCGATTCTCACCCTTGGAGCTCACCACACCCCCTGTTCAATCCCTCCACCTTCAGAAGGGAGCTACGGAGGAGACTACACTAAAGCAAGTCCCTCAGCTGATGAAGAGCATGGCAGAAGCCCCACTTTCCTTTCACTTCCCACCACAGCTCTGGCAGCCTCAGCCTCATGAGCTCCCCTCCCAAGTCACGGGATACCTAGGAATGCAGCTCTGCATGGAAAGAAATTAAAGCAAGATCTGATCTCTTATTCTAGACCTAAAGACTCATGAGGCTTGACACAACAAAAATGGCTCACTGTCAAGAGTTCCTACCTTGCACAATTAACTCAATAGTAATCTCATCAATTTCTTTTCGGTCATTTCGAGCAACAACCTCACAGCGATAGAGGGCTGAATCTGTTCGTGTCACATTCCAGATCTTCAGGGAAGTTTTCCCCAACAGTTCTGCACGACCCGCCAGATCCCCTATAGAAGAGACAGGTACCCAAAAAACCTCTTTAGAGATATCTTTGTCACTTGAAAAGAGTGGTTTCTGGGGCTGGAATTGATGCCATGGTAAGAAGACTGCATACTGGTTTCTGGTTTTGTTTTTCAATTTTATAATTAATAGTACAAGGGAGCTGCACTATGAAATTTTCATAGGTATGTTCACCCTCCACTGTATTTCCTGAGCCCCTTTTCAAACAGTGTTTGGTGTGTTTCATTCTGCTGTCTTCATACATGTATGTGTGATATACTTGGAACCTGGTTTCTGTTTTCATCTCTCCCTGAAGATAAGAACCATGACTTATTCCTATTTGTAACCTTAGCATCAAACCAGTAGCTCCTATGTGACAGGGACTCACTATACAGGTCTCTATTGTTAAAGCCAGGAACCTCACCCACCATTCCCAGAAGAGATCTTCTCATTAAAAGGAAAACAAAATAAACATTAAAAACAAACAAAAAAACATGACTTTCCATAAATGATGTCAGGACAACTGGATATCCACATGCAAAAGAAGGAAGTTGCGTTGGTGGTATAGTGGTGAGCATAGCTGCCTTCCAAGAAGGAAGTTGACCTCAGCCTCACTCCACATTCAACAGGTTAAGACTATAAAACTCTTAGGAAAAAACAGCCATAAATCTTCATGAACTTGGATTAGGAAATAGTTTCTTAGATATGACCTAAAGCATAAGCACAAAAAAATTGGAGTTATATTGGATTTCATCAAAAATTAAAAACATTTGTGCTACAATGGACTCAAGCAGGTAAAAAGACAAAACACAGAATGGGAAGGACCCCATGTGAATGGAAAAACAAAACTTTTCTTCTTTCCATTCATTTTTTCTTTTTTCTTTTGTGTATGTGGTACTGGACATGGAACCCAGGGCAAGTGCTCTACCACTGAGCTGCATCCCCAGCTGAAAAAACTATCTTTAAGAGCATAAAACTCCTACTGATAATGAGAGCCCAAACTAGAAAAACCAAAGCTTAAGTTGTTTCCACAAAGTCTTTCTCAACTTCCCTGAAAATGAACACATACGCACTGGTATCTCCTACTTGTTTCATCTCTCTTTCAGAAGGAAGGTGATGTCCTTCCACTACACATAATTTGTCACCCTCCCTCTTTCTTCCTCAGCACAGCAAGTCCTAGCAACTCTCCTCTTGAATCTCCCTGACCTCCATCTCAGCTCAGGCCACTGTCACAGGAACTTTGCCCTGGGCCCCTGCTCTAAGTTTTCCTCATCTCCAGTCTCTTCCCTGAAAAGCAGCCACTTCCATCTTCAAAGCATTGATGCAACCATGCTGCTTTCCTTCTGCACCCCGGTGGGCCCTAACACTGCCCTACAACCCATGCTCAGCTGCCACTCAGTGAACCTATACAACAAGGCCATATGGAACTGTCCAGCCTCATCTCTGCCCTCTCTTACTGCCCAGGTCCCAGCTGTGGGTGAAGAACTTACAGCAACTCCCACCAGCCAAACTCTCCTTGGCTTCTGCATAATTATGTGTGGCAATTCTCTCCTGCCCTGACACCTTTCTCCACACCAAACTTGCTATCTGGCCTGGCTAAATGGGCACTCTCCACCCCACTGCCCAGGTGCCACATTCCCTGGCCACATCCTCCTACGTCATGCCATCCCACAGCACCCCATGTTGGCCCTAGTGCTGCCCCTGGGGTGATATCCTACTAACCAGTGTAGGGGTGCTGTCTCCTCACAGAGCATCCCTAGCACTGAGCCCAGGATATGGTGGGATATGCTGGTCCACTCAGCAAACACCTGTGGCCTCCATGCTGCAGTTATGATCCTTCTGGTGGGCTCACTTGCTTCAACTCTGTCATGGGTTATGACAAGATGGCCAAGCAGAATGTTCACTTTGACTTCTCAGCAAGGTGAACTGTACATAGATTGAAGTCCAGACTAACCAACTGATATTTGTTGAACCTGGGTAACAGGTACAGGGATGCTCAAAATACTATTCTCACTACTTTTCCCATAATAATAAATTCAGAAAACTCAAACTGTCTTGGTTACAGATGTAGGTTAGCAGTCTGTGGTAAGCTTCTAGTCATAAACACATGCCTGGCCTGTGAATAAGAGAGGTCAGCAGGTACAGAGGACTATGGGATCATACCTTGAATCTTATTGTCAAAAAACACATATGTTGTTTGTTCATCTTGGATTTTCTTCCACTCAATCCTGGGGTCATTTGTCTGTGAGTCCGTAATGATACAAGACAGTTCCACACCTAATGAGCAAAAGGGGAAAAAAGAACTCTGGTGACTGGGTAACACTTCTGGGTTTCCCTGAACACCCAGGTCCTGCCAGCTCTCTAGTTTAAAAAAGCTTTCATGCCAATTGTAAACCTAGCCAGTTCCAGGCTCCAAAAGCCTTTGAGAAATGGTGAGTTTTTGCCAGAAAAACAAGACGTTAGTCAGGACTTTATTACAGAGAACACCCTACATATTTATAGAAGAGATTTCTTGTGTGTAAGCTCAAAGTCAGGCAGGAAGCAGATGTTAGCTACTATAAACCCACACAGAATGCAATGCCAGCCTGTTGATGTGCTGCTTCAGGGACCACACACCTTTGGCAAGTTACAAAGAGGGAGTGTGTCCTAAGTTGGCAGCAAGGCTACTCAATGCCCACTAGTGGGTGCACATTCCCCTCACAATGTCTCCGTGTACTTACTTTCAAATTCTTGTACCACTGGGTTTCGATTGCTGGATTTGAGATTCACTGCCCCTATCAAGCAGCCTGAAGAGAAAAGAAAAGTAAAATCATAACCTATGCATCTTTATGAAAGCATCAAACACATGGACTGAAGTCAAGATTCTCCCTCCTGTGTAGGTGACAATCTAAAAGAAACTAAGGTAATTGCCCCACTTAGAGATGATCACCTCTTATTCCTCTGCAAAGACAAAAGAAGGTGCTAAATAAAAGTTGGCAAGAATTGGGACAAAGACATGAATGCTGTGCACTTCTTAATGCAGGCAGCATTGGTGTGACCGCTCTCCTGTGCAGCTATCCTAGACAAGCTAAATGGGCAGTTTTGAGCCACTGCTATTAGCAGGCCACTTCAAGACAAGTGAGATTTGAGCTATGGGATTATCTGCAACAAATGGGCCCCAAATCTGATAAGGCCCCATGCCCAGGGTCCTTTCTCAGAATTTTTACTCTATTTCTAAGTAATTCTTAAATTTATAAATACTCCAGAACTTCTTACTTGATCCAATCCCAATAGGCTAGGATCCCACTTTAAAATACAGCAATAACCGTGTGAAAGAATGATGTCATGAGGATTGAAAGCCTGCAGTCTAACACTTGAAGTAATTCATGTAAAATAACTTCTGACACCTGGGGGTATGATGCTAACATAATCAGTTGAGGGGGAGATGGGTGGGGTCGGGAAGCTGCTGAGGTTTAATTTAATGGTACACACACTGAACCCCAGTGCTGTCAGAACTCACACTGGGATGACATTATTTAACACTGAAGAAAGGGGTTTTTGGAAGGAAGGAAAAAGAAAAATTGCTAATCCATCAAATGGTCATATTTAATTTCACCTCTATCTTGTCCTGTTCTTCAGATTCTAAGCTTTTTGGGAGGACCTTCATTCAGCAAACTTGTTTGGCATCTGTTATGTGACAGATGCTGGTCTACACACTAGGGATATAAATAAAACATAAAAATCTATGGTCTCATGGAGTTTGCATGTCTGTGTTGAAAAAACAAAAGCTGGTACCATATTTATTCATCTTGATTATATCTCCAATGCCTGAGTGCAAAACTTTCTACAAAGCCATAGTAATCAAATCAGTTTGAGACCTGCATACAGATAGACATATAGACCAAAGGATTGGAAAAGAATGCCCCCAAATAAACCCTAACATGATTTTTAAATGATTTTCAATGAGGATGCCAAAACTATAAATGGATAAGGACAATCCTTTAAAAAAAATGGATACTGGGAAAATTGGATATCCACATGCAAGATGATGAAGTTGGGTTCTCATATAAAACCATACACAAAAAATTAACTCAAAATAGATCAAAGACCTAGATATAGAAATTAAAGCTGTAAAGCCCATAGAAGAAAACAGAAAGAGAAATCTTCATATTGGATTTGGCTATGATTTCTATGATATGACATAAAAAGTACAGGCAACAAAAGAAAAATTATGTAAATAGGTTGATCAGGATTTTAAGAATTAACATCAAAGGACACTATCAAGGAAGTGAAAAGAACTCAGAATATGAGAAAACATTTGCAAAGCACAAATATGGTAAGGGATTAACATACAGAATATATAAAGAACTCCTCCGACTCACCAAGGAAAAACCAGCCAGATTCAAAAATGTGCAAATGACAACCCTACAGATAAGATATACAGGTGGCCAATAAGAACATGGAAAAGGGGAAAGGGTCAAAGGGGGAGAGGTAGTGGGGACAACCTAACCAGTGTACAATGTAAGCCTACTCAGAATTGTCACAATGAATTCCCTCTGTAAGATGCAGTGAGAATCAAAAACAAAAAAACAAGGATGCTCACCATCATCAACTTTAGGGAAGTGAAATTGCCATATCACTTCACTCCCAATAGAAGGACTACGGTTTTTTTTGTTTGTTTGCCACTACTGAGGATTGAACCCTGGACCTTGAAAGGCTTACATGAGCACTCTACCACTTGAACTATGCCCCCAATCCAAGGCTATTCGAAAAAAGAAAAAAGAAGGGGAAGGGAATAACAAGTGTTGGTGGGGTTATGGAAAAGTCAGAAATCAGAACCCTGATCCAAAATTACACTCCTATGCACAGAACTGAAGAACTGAAAGCAGGGACTCGAACAGATACATGCACACCAATGTTTCCAGCAGCACTGTGAACATCTGGGAAAACCCAAGTATCTGCACATGAATGCACAAATAAAATGTGGAATGTACTTACAATATAGTGTGATTCAGCTTTAAAAGGGAAGGAAATTTGACACATGTGGCGGCAACACAGATGGACTTTGAAGACAGTGAACTACGTGGAAGGCAGTCTGGAACGTGCAAATCCATAGGCAGAAAACAGACCAGAGGTTACCAGGGAGTGAGGAAAGGAGGCAATGTAAGAGTGTTGTGTAATGGAGACAGTGTCTGTTTGGGAATGAAAAAGTTCTGCAAATGGGTGGTGGTTATACATTATGATTATACTTAATACCCCAGGATTTAAATTGTTAAGAAGGTAAATTTTATGTTTATTTTGCCAGATTAAAATTTTCTTTTAAAAAATAATGACAACAAAAGATGGCAAGGACCTAAATCATTTGGACGTATTATACACAGAAAACAGAGTCAAAGGCAAGCGTTACACAGATACAGGAACTCCACACCTGGTCAAGAACAAGTCTTGTAGTGCAGACGCAGCACTTGTTTCTTCTCACGACACTTCAGTTGGGCAGGAAGGGCAGAATCTCCACCTGCTAATGATGTCTAGTACAAAGCCCAAAAGCAAAACTCAAAACATCAGAGCTGAATTGAAATGCCAGAGGACACAGATCATTTGCTAAACTACTCATGATCACAAACAGATTTTCTTTTTTTTCTTTTTTGATGGAACTGGAGTTTGCTCATGTTTGCTAATGCTTGCAAAGCAGGTGTGCTACCGTTTGTGGGTCACACCTCCAGTCTGTTTTTCTTTTTATTTTGGAAATGGGGTCTCATGACCTATTTGCTCAGCCAGCCTGAATCACGATCCTGTAGATCTCAGTGAGAGAGCCACAGGTGCCCAGCCTACAAATGGATTTTCATTATGCATTCTGCCCATAATGCAATTAAGCCAGTTCACTGTTTTTAATTTACGTATCCACTAAAACAATTTGAAAAGGTGATGGATGGACTCGTTCACATATTTAGGCTAACATCTAATTTTTTTTATTAAGATTATATAGTTGAAAAAGCTATCATTCCTGGGATACTGTAAACATTAATATTTTAAAATGAAACTATTCCCCTCCCCCCCTTTTTTAGTGTATCCACTGGGACCCAAATGCCCTAAGTGATTTGATATTCACTGTCATTTTAGAAATAAAGATTTTTAATTTTTAATGTTTAAATAATTATATACTTACAGGAAGTTGCAAAGAAAGTATAGAAATGCCCAATATAGTCTTTTAAGTAAAAAAAAAAAAATCAAAAGAAGGCTTAATTTTTGGTACAGGCACTCTGGAAAGCCATTTGTCAGTTTCATAAAATATTGGGTGTGCAACCACCACAGGATCCAACAATGGTGCTCATGGGCATTTGTCCTGGAGAAAAGAAACCCATATTCACAGAAAACACACACACACTGCACTTTAAAGTAATGCCCCAGGCTGGTTTCTAAAGGGAAGTCTGATGTAAATTATCTTCTTCCTCTTATTTCCCCCAATCTGCTTAGAAAATGGTGGCTTGTTTTGTTTCAGAACTAGAAGTTGAACTCAGAGCCTCATACTTGATAGGCAGGTGCTCTTTCCTACCATTTGAGCCACACCTCTTTTTGTGTTGCTTATTTTTGAGATAGGTCCTTGCTTTATGCCTGAGCCAGCCTTGATCACAATCATCCTATTTGTGCTTCCTCATGTAGCTGGGGATGACAGGCATGCACCACCTCACCTAGCCATTGTTTGAGATGGGGTTTCACAAACTTTTTTTTTGTCCTGGGCTGGCTTTCAACCACAATCTTTGCAATACAGGCTTGAGTCACCTCACCTGACCTACAAAATATTTTCTTTACCTTTGATTTTCTATAGTTTAAATATAATTGCCTATGTTTTGGGTTTTAGGCATTTATCATGATTGGTGTTTGCCAAGTCTCCTGCACTGATGGTATAGGGATCTGCTGTTAATTTTGGCAAATCCTTAGTCATGAATGCTTCAAGTATTTGTGTCCCTTCTTCTGGTACTGCCATCACATATGCTACACCTTTTATAGGTGTCCTACAGTTACTAGAAACGCTTCATCACTTTTATTCCAGTTTACTTTCTCTGGGCTTTAGTTTGGGAAATTTTACTGACATATCCTCAAGCTCAGAGATTCTTTCCATACTTGTGATCAGCATTTTTCATTCTGTTACAGGTTTTTAATCACAGCATTTCTTTTTGATTCTTAGAATTCCCATCTCTCTGCAGCTGGGGAGTGTCTCAAGTGGTTGAGTACTTGCCTAGCAAGCACAAGACCCTAAGTTCAAACCCCAGTACCACACAAAATAAATAAATAAAATTCCATCTCTCTACTTGCACTTGCACTGTTCTGTCTGTTCTTAACACATCTGTTTTAATTTCCAGGTCTGATAAATTCCAACATCCATGCCACACCAAAGTTCTGACACTTGCTCTGGCTCCTCAAACTGTTTTTTGCCTTTTCGCATGCCTTGTAACTTTTTGTTGAAAGCCAGACACAATGAATGTGGCATGCAGGCTGTAACCCAGCATTATGCCTCAGTGTTTCCCAGACCCCACCCTTTAGGTTGGGCTGCATGGTGACAGGGGGTTGGACTTAGCTACTTCCCTTCCCCCCAAGTCACCTAGGGTGATAAAATTCTAATAGGTTAGGCTCTGAAAAGATAGTTTCTCTTGTGGGCAGATGTTGATAAGAACAGAAGGCTCTAGATGTATTTCAAAATGGCTACATTTCCCCTTCCTCTGTTAGGGGATTTTTCTCCTGCCTTCACTAAGAGAACCTGGTGAGGCCAACAATTGCTGGGGCTCCTAAGACTGGGCCCCTGGTGTTT